TCATCTAGAGCATCAATGGCGGCGATTTCCGCAGCGCTTTTAGTCCATCTATAGTGCCGCCTTTTGTAGGCTGGCCATCTGGGCAAGCTGTCAGGCTTTGTGATGATAGCTCTGCTGGATGCTACACCTGATGCCTGTTTGAGCCCCTCCCGGTTGCCTTGTGAAGGGGGCGTATAAGTTGTAACGAGCATTTCGCATAAGTTTCGTCAATTCGCAGCTAGCTAAAAAGGATTCGCATGTGCTTATAAACAAGATCTGTTGCCTTATTTGACTTCAGTCTCTTCTGCTTGACTTCGGTCTGTTCGTTACTATTGGTTGATAACCACGCGACGCGCTTGTAATGTAGGTGCATAAGGCTGGGGAAACAACCTCGGGTGCAGCGTATCCATCCGGCGCAAGGCAAATTCGCGTGCATGGGGTGAGCATCAGCTGTATGACGGAAATATCGACTTAGGATGCGGTACGCCGGTAACAGAATGTAGGAATTTGTCGTTCCTTCGCACGCGGCGCTATTGTAGAACTTATGGAATTTGTACGTTTACTCCCAAACAGAATCTTGGTCAGCCTGATGCCGTTTTCACTGGTGGCTAGCTCCACACCTGGGCCATCCGTCGGCGGGCGGGCTCTGCCAGGTTGGCGTTGGCGGCTCGTCAGTGGCGTTTTGTCTAGGCCTTCGTAATTGCATCGCGAAAATGGCAAGTGCCGAATGTCACAGAAATGTCAGAAATGTGACAGCAAGTCCGGCGTTTTTTAGTCATGGTTGAAAGTACCGGCCACGATGTGACCTACTAAGTCACAAAAAAGTCACGTTGATGTGACCAAATGTCATACAGAATGTCACATTGTAGTGTCTCATGAAGTGATGTTCTTGTCACATCTTAGTTAACATGCCACGTGGACGCCCCGCGTCCACGTGTATTAAGATATTTTGACACGTGTCACTGTTGTTGATTGGTCGAAATAGACCAATCAAATGTCAACGAGCCACATGCGAAAGTAGTATTTGATTGGCCGGCGATTTTGGAACAGTGACCCACCAGGCGACGCGCACGAAACTCAGCGTCGCCATTTAGGGCGCGTGTCTTTTGGTGTAGACGTTCGGAATTTTGATTGAACTTTTGCTGGTTACCCTATTCGTTAATTTCGCTAAAACATTCGCCAGGACGTCGTGTGTCCACGTACACTTCCAGCATCGGAAAATGTTGAGCTCCCAAGTTGAACCCTCATCAACAAACAGGTTGGCACGAATGTGCGAGCGTGTGTCCACCTCATCACTGACAGCGACGATGCGAAGTCTGCGACGCTCGCAGCTAGCATCGTGCGCACGAGGGTGCTCGTCAGTGCGAGGCCTTACGTGGCGCGATGTCAAGAGCCCAAACCGGGTAACCTACAAGCGTAGGTCGCGGCTCGGCTGGGCTGCAAAAGTTCAACTTCGATAGTTGAACTTTTGTTTGTCGCGTGATTTTCGGGAGGGGTGGAACCGCGGCTCGGTTTGCAGTTGGTGAAAACTCGAGCCTAGCTCGAGCTAGGTTCAAATGACTACAGTTCAACAAAAAATTCGAGTTTTGCATATAAAAACCAAAAGACACGCGCCCTTAGTACGCCGAAATTCCAGAACAGCAAGAAGTAGATGACACTTTCAAATGGCTTCTTTAGGCACACATGCATACATGGATGTACGAACTAGAGATACTGCACAGGTGTGCGAACTACAGATACTGCAAAGGTGTACGAACAACATCTACTGCACAGGTGTGACATAAAGCCTCCACAACGTCTAGCTACGAAAACCGTGGTTTGCCAAACAGTCATGTATGGTCGTACGGGACACGCTGAAACTTCAACCTGCACACAAGAAAAATAAAAAACGTGATAGAACCTCAACGTGTTAGCGATCATAACCGCGCTAGCCATTCTTAAAACAAATATCATACCTCCAGGTCGTCGGAGTGCACGAATCGCCGAAGCCCCATCAGCCCGTGGCACTTTTGCACACCGCAATCTGCACAACGCAAAATTGATCATCTCCATTTTCCAGCATCCCAAATATGCCCCCAAGAGTCCGAACGGACTCTTTCTGGACGGATTCCGGACGTGCAGAAAAAGACACCTTTTGGACCAAGGCCTGCTACATTCCGGAGTCTGTTTTAGGTCCCATCAAAGAGTCCACGAAGAGTCCCTTCGGACAGTACGAAAGGCAAAGGCAAAATGTGTACATCACGTACCCAGTATACTATAATGCGTTTTACCAATAAAAATAATACTCAACCATTGTGTACATAATTTATTAGGAAAACATGCAAATGCATCTCTACTTGATCAAAATGCTAGAAACTAAATAATGCATTTCCAGATACATATACGGTACGAACCCCCATTACTAAAATCTTTAATAGAAAAAAAGAACCTGCACAAATTGAAAAATAATATCATATGAGCCACAAGGTCCATTGCAAAAAAAAAAAAAAAAAAAAAAAAAAAAACACACACACACACACACACACACACACACACACACACACACACACACACACACACACACACAAAATTGTTCATACTAAATCGTACAAACCGTGGTGACTGATAACACGTTGTCCTGCAATGTAGGAAATATTCACAAGAAACAATTGAAACAATCATCTCCATTTACACGATGATTGATACATGTCTGAATACAGGAAAAACAATAATTACAAGACACATTGGCTTTCTCGACAGAATCATTTAGCAAGTAGAGCACCACCTTTGAACGGACCCCTCACTCGCAACAGGGTTAGCAGCACCCGTCACGACCCCTTGCACCAACCGACGAAGCAGCGCCTGTCACGTCCCTTAGTGATGGAGAGCGATGTGGTGAGATTAAAAATAAAAACCTCCAGATTGCTCGCACTTCTTTAGGGGAGACGAAACGCGAAATCGACGTTTAGGGTTGGTAGCACATATAAAGCTGTAACCACAAACATTGCCAACATCAGATCATACGAACCGGCCTGCGTGATGACACATTGCCCCGCAATGAAAGAAATCTTCACCAAGAACAATCAAAACAAACATCATCACGCAAGCGATGATTAGCCGCCGTTAACACACATGTTCATAATCAATTAAACAATGTGATCACCTCTGTTAATCGCGCCTCTAAGCAGCAGCCGCATTAGCAACGCCCGTCGCGCACATAAGTTGCTCCCGTCGCGTCTCTTAGCAGCACCCGCCGTAGCAGCGTCAGTCGCGCTCCCAAGCAGCGTCAGTTGTCAGAATAACTGAGCAGGAATGAATGAACTGTCAACAGGACTAAGCAAGAATGAATTGAAAAGGAGAGGAGTTTCACTAGCAGCAGTTGGGGTACATATAGCAAACCCTAACTAGGTTGTACTCGCTATAGAGCACCCCACTACAGGCTAGACAATAATAACATTCTGACACACCCCCATAGCCAAAGTGGGGTGTAATCAGCACAATGAGCAGGCATAGCAATAGTTCACAATTATAAGCAAAGCTAGAGGTGATCATAGAGGGCAAGTGAGGAGGAGGAGAAACTGTGAGGGCGAGAAGATGAAAGGCGCCGACTGAAGCTGCAGACACACGGGCAACAGGAGCGGCGCGCACAGTGGCTACCGAGCGCACGAGGGCACCGGACTACGGGAGTATCTGGCTCTGCGGCTACGACGAGCACACACAGGAGCAACGGACCCACAGGCGACTGGCGAAGCAGGCTCGCTGGGCTACCGAAACGCGCGAGGGCATCCGGACTACTGGCGCTGCTGGCGTCACGACGGCTACCTCCACGCAACCTCCCCCGACCGTCCCACGCCCCTCTCACACACCCCCTGCTGACACCCTAGCTCCACTTCCACGGCACCCCCCTTAAACCCTAAACCCTCGGCTCCCACACACCCACCCCCCTCAGCGGCAGCTGCAGCAGTGGGAGACGGAGGAGGAGGAGGAGCCGCAGGTTACCCACACCGGTCACCCCCATGCCCGCCACCCCCAAACCCTAACGCAGGCAGGAGCGCAGGAAGCAGCAGGGGCGGGGCACGGAGGGAAAGGGAGGCGGCGGGGTGGCTCCTGGGCGCCACGAAGAAGCAGGGCGCGGGCCCCCCGAGGGCGCCACGGCGGGTGACGGGAGGGGGGCCGCGCACGGGCCCCCGAGGGCGGCTCGACGGGCGACGGGAGGGGCCGCGCGCGGGCCCCCAGGGCGCCGCGACGAGGCGACGGGAGGGGGGGACGCGCGGGCCCCCAAGGCGCCGCGACGAGGCGACGGGAGGGGCCGGCGCGCGGGCCCCCAGGGCGCCGCGACGAGGCGACGGGAGGAGGGCGACGCGCGAACCCCTAGGGCGCCGCGACGGGCAGAAAACCGCCGCGCGCCTCGGGGCGCACGGCGGGCAGAAAACCGCCGTACGCCCCGAGCGCACGGCAGGAAGAAGGCGGTGCGCGCCCGAGGCGCGCGAGAAGCAGAACAGCAGCGGAAGCAGTTAGGTGGCGGGCCCACCCACAGGATCGACCCAAGGGGGTCGACCTGCTCTGATAGCATGTCAACAGGACTAAGCAAGAATGAATTGAAAGGGAGAGGAGTTTCACTAGCAGCAGTTGGGGTACATATAGCAAACCCTAACTAGGTTGTACTCGCTATAGAGCACCCCACTACAGGCTAGACAATAATAACATTCTGACATGAACTAGCAGTGAGTCAGGTACAAATATGAAACCCTAGAATTGTGACCCCCCTACAGGCTAACCCACTATAGCCTACACAAATATAACATGTATAATGTTTGACACACCCCCATAGGCGAAGTGGGGAGAGCAAGGGGTCACAAGACCAGTCAAAGCAAAACAAGCTCAGGGTGGATCTCAAGGATACCACACAAATTCCGAGCACAAGCAAGCGGTCACAAGACCAGTTCACATGCAGATTGATAATATAACAAGGGATACAGTGATCACAACCTAGCAAGAGTAAACATGCAGGTATATATATAGAGATCACAGTACAAACAGAGTCAAGAGGTAAGCAAGTGAGGTCCAGCAGGCACAAGGCCTAGAAGAGTACAGAAGCGCTGATGGTCACAAGGCTGAAGCGCCTTGGTGAACACATCAGCAGTGTTGGCCTCAGTGGCCACGTAACGCAGACGAAGCTGACCGCGCTGCTGCAGCTCTCGAGCAAGGAAGTACCGCAGGGCAATGTGCTTCGTTCTGTGCTCCAGTCTGTGCTCCTCACACAAGGCAATGGCAGCCTTGTTGTCGACATACAGCACTGGAGGAGAACGAGGCCGCTCTCCCAAGTCGGTCAGCAGGTAGGTCAGCCAGCGTAGCTCCTGGGCCGCCATGGCTGTGGCGTAGATCTCAGCCTCACAACTGGAGCTGAGAACAGAAGAAGAGCGTGTAGAACGCCAAGAAACTGAGCCAGAGCCAAGACTGAAGGTGTAACCCTGAGATGACCGCTGAGTAGCCTGGTCGTCCGCCCAAGAAGCGTCTGAGTGTCCAGTAAGTACCACTCGGTCTCGCCCTCCAAGCACTAGCCCCATGCCCGACGTACTGCACAAGTAGCGCAACACCCTCTTAGCAGCATCCATGTGCTCCTTCCTGTGACGGCCAGGAGCGACATAGCGTGCAAGGATGCTAAGAGGGTATGCAAGGTCAGGTCGAGTGCAGGTCATCAGGTACATGAGGCAGCCCACAAGCTCTGGATACGGGCCACTCGGCTCTACGCACTCATCCGAAGGCAGAGCTGAGAGCGAGTGACCGGCAGGCAGAGGAGTGGACTGAGGCGAGGAGTACGTGAAGCGGAAGCGCTGAAGGATCTGCTGCACCATGTGTGACTGAGTCAAGGTGATGGTGCGCCGTGCTCTGTCCCGAGTGATCCGCAAGCCAAGATAGCTTGTCAGTTCACCCAGGTCTGTGCACGTGTGTCTCTTCTGCAGCTCCGACTTCACGTGGGCGAGTGCCGCAGTGTCAGCAGTGGCAAAGACCAAGTCGTCGACGTACACGAGGATGTAGAACGGCGGCAGCGAGGTGTCGGTGCGTAGAAACAGCGACGGGTCAGCAGTAGAAGGAGTGAACCCAAGAGCCGCAAGTGTAGTCCTCAGTGTGTCGTGCCACTCGCGCGGCGCCTGGCGGAGACCGTAGACCGGTCGCTGGAGCCTCCACTGGGTACCAGGAGGAACCGACCCAGTGAAGCCAGGAGGGCGACGCAGCCAGATCTCCTCGTGCAGGCTGCCCTGTAAGAAAGCAGTGCTGAAGTCAAGTGAGTGAAGCTCGTAGTCGCGCTGAGCGGCTATGTGCAGCAGCACCCAAAGAGTGGTCATCTTCGGGGTGGGGGAGAAGGTCTGGAAGAAGTCTACTCCCTCTCGCTGACTGAAGCCTCGAGCAACGTAGCGCGCCTTGAAGACAGGAGGAGAACCCGGCGGCCGCTTCACCCTGAAAATCCACATGCCACTGACGATGTTCGCCCCAGGTGGGGGAACCTCGTCGACGTAGGTGCCTGTGGACTTCCAGGAAGCCATCTCTGCGTCCATGGCTGTCTGCCACTGAGAGGAGTAGGGACCCGCTATCGCCTCTGCGTAAGAGCGCGGGGTCGGGATGTCTGGTGCATCCGGGTCTCCCTCAGGGGCAACTAGCATGGACACGAGATGGGGCAAAGCAGCAGCAAAGCACTGAAACTCCTCCTGTCTGTCCTCAAGGACGTCCGTGCCAAGAGCACATTCACCCCCGACGGACGGAGGACAGACAGACTCAGACTCAGCAACAAGACTAGCGGCGTAGTCTAGACGACACCGGGCAGCAAAGTCAACCAACTCAGCGACCAGAGCAGACGCAGCAGAGGACTCAAAGGTAGGGTCAGTGACAACAGTGGCGAGGAGACGCGTGACAGTGGGACTGGCAGCACGACGGGAGTCAGACTCCGGGTCAGGAAGAGTAGGTAGAGAGGACGTAGGAGGAGACGGTAGAGGGACACGCTGAGGAGCAGTGGAGGGACGCAGAGTCATGTAGTGAGTGCCAGGGACAGGAGGAGGACGCTCACGTGGGACACGACGACCAGTGCGAGCAGTACGAACAGGCGACGCAGGACGAGACTCAGGCTCACGACGCTCCGTAAGACCTCCTGTCGGACCAGTGTAAGGGGAGGGACCAGGGAGAGGCGAGGCAGGCAGTAACTGTGACTGCGACTGGACAGACGGAGGACACTCTAAGGAGGAAGGAGGACAAGGAGGAGGAGTCTGACCAAGAACCTGCTGAAGGAGCGGCACGAAGTAAGGTCGCGGCCGCGCAGCGTCTCCAGAACCAGTAGAGACACCAGCGTCAGGGTCCTCAGTACCAGCAGTAGCTCCAACGTCCGGGTCCTCAGCACCAGCAGCAGCTCCAACGTCCGGGTCCTCAGCACCAGCAGCAGCTCCACCGCCCGGGTCCGCAGCACCAGCAGCAGCTCCAACGTCAGGGTCCTCAGCACCAGCAGCAGCTCCACCGCCCGGGTCCTCAGCACCAGCAGCAGCTCCACCGTCCGGGTCCCCAGCACCAGCAGGAGCTCCAGCGTCCGGGTCCTCAGCACCAGCAGCAGCTCCAGCGCCCGGCTCCTCAGCACCAGTAGCCCCTGCAGTACCAGGGTCCGCAACACCAGGAGCGCCACTCCGAAGACTGCAGCGTCGCGTGTACCACTCTCGGATCTGCTGAAGGGAGGGGAGCTCCCGGGTAGGAGGGGAAGCACTGGTACCAGCTCCAGCAGCACCTCTCCTGAGGCTGCAGTACTGTAGGTACCTCTCCTGCAGCTGCTGTGAGGAGAGGGCTCCTCCAGGTGTAGCACTCTCAGGCTCAGCACGTCCAGACTCAGCACCCCCAGGCTCCGCACCCCCAGGCTCAGCACCTCCAGGCTCAGCACCCCCAGGCTCCGCACCTCCAGGCTCAGCACCCCCAGGCTCCGCACCCCCAGGCTCAGCACCCCCAGGCTCAGCACCCCCAGGCTCCGCACCCCCAGACTCAGCACCGCCAGGCTCCTCACGTACAGGCTCAGCACCCCTAGCAGGACGAGAGTCGACAGCTACCTCGACAGGCTCAACCGGGTCTACCTGGGACACACCTGAGGGAGCGGCACCCTGAGGGGGGAGGGGGTCTACCACAGCAGCACCTGGCGCGAGGAAGAGAGGCGGAGGGGGGAGGGGGGCAGTGCGGTAGGGGAAGAGGCAGTAGTAGGGGACGGACTCGTCAAAAGTGACGTCCTGAGAAGGCAGAACCCGGCGCGAGGTGACGTGGTAAAACTGCCAACCAGGCGCGTCCGGGACAAAGCCAAGGAAGACACAAGGAACAGCGCGAGAGGAGAGCTTGTCCGCGGACGTATCGCGAACAAAAGCTCGGGATCCCCAGACCCGAAAACGCGACGCATCGCCAACCTCTCCCGTCCAACGCAGTGTCGGGGAAGTCTCCGGTAAGGAGACGCGGGGCCAGAGGTTGAGCTGATGCGCAGCGTATCGGACCGCAAACGGCCACAGAAAGTGGGGGGCAGCCGCATGGATCAAGGAGGTACGAGCGACCTCCATGACCAAGCCAATGTGGCGCTCAGCAACCCCATTCTGCTGTGGAGAGGCCGGAAGCGTGAACGACTGCTCAATGCCGTGCTCCGCACAGTAGGCTGCCATGAGGTCGGAGGAGAACTCACCACCTCTGTCAGAGTGCAAACGCAGGACAGGAAAGTCCGAGCGGAAACGCTCGCTGAGCTGGAGACGAGCTCTGCGGATCCAAGGGATCAAGACATCAGGGACCTCACCCTTGGTGTGCAAGGGGAAGACCGTGGTGTAGCGCGAGTAGTCGTCAACAACAATCAGGAAGTACCTCTCCTGACCCTGTCCACGGACGCGGGCTGGGCCCCACACGTCCATGTGGAGTGTCTGCAAGGGAGCAGTCGTCGGGGGAAAGGAGGAGGAATGAGGAGCGGCGCGCTGCCGCCCCTCGACACAGGGAAGACAGGAAGGAACAGACGAGGGTGGGAGGGGAGGGAGAACCCTGGGAAGACCAGAGACAAGGTACCGTTTGTGCATGGCACGAAGGCGCTGCACAGACGGGTGACCAAGTCGGTGGTGCCAGAGGACGGTCTCGTGCGCCAGAGAGCGACACGAGCAGGGGGCCGACAGCTGACCTGACGCAGACGCGGACGCAGCTACATGAGGGGACTCAGTGGTCAGTGTGTACAGGTCCGACCCCGGCTGCCGAGTGAAGGTAGCCAGGTGACGGCCCGTCCGAGCACACGTGCAGTGTGTCACGCGCTCGTAGGCAGGGGTGAACTGGTGAACACCCGCATCCTGGAGTGCACAACCCGCCACCAGGTTCGTAGAGAACGAGGGGAGGTGGAGACCTGACAGTGTGCCCGACGGGACCGCAGGACAGGGAAGAACAGTGGAGGAGGTCGCAATGACCGGACCCCCAGAGGGGTCAGCGAGGGAGACAGCAACTGGCCGAGCAAGCGGCTCAAGGGCAGTGCGGTCATGAAAGAAACAGCGAGAAGCACCTGAGTCTAGGGTGAAGGTGTGCAGTGCCTCAGTCGACTCAGTACCAGGGGGGACAGACTCACTAGCACCTAGAGCGGCAGCCTCACCATCACCTGAGGTAGCAGACACGCGAGTACCTGGAGCGGCAGTGTCACTAGCACCTAGAGCGGCAGCCTCACTGGTCAGAATGCCCGGGTCGGGCGGAACACGCAAGTACTGAGCACCCTCTCCACTAGTAAACATCGCATACATGGCAGTGAGAATAGCATCAAAGTCTAGAGCCCAGATATCAACTCCCTTCCTCTCCAGATCAGCCCAGCGGGGCAGCTCAGCGCCATCAGGGAACTGGGTGCGCCAAGCGTCGTCAAGGCGCGAGAAACAGCGCTGCGTGGGGTGTGGCCTCCCACACGTCTGACCAGTGCGGTCACCAGTGCGGATGACGTACGTGCAGCTAAAGCCACCCGCGCCCCGGTGCTGCGAATACCACTCACGGGCCTCCTGGAGCGACGGAGTGTGCTGCTGGCTCAGACCACCGCCAGCGCCTCCACGACCACCGCAGCCGTCACCTCCTCGACCACCTCCTCCCCTGCCGCTGCCACGACCACCTCCGCCCCCGCTGCCGCCCCCGCCCCTGCCACCGCCCCCGCCGCTGCCGTCACCACCCCCACTGCCGCCACTAGCCTCTCCAGCCCCACCTCCACTCCCACCGCCTCCACCCCCGCCTCCTCCGCCGCTACCTCCACCCTTGCCCCTTCTGTTCCTGCGGCGCCCGCCCGGAGCGGACAGCGTCCCGACCTTCTCAGCACCAAGGAGGTCGACAGCAGAAGCAGAGGCTACAGAGGGGAGAAGGGGGGAAGGGGAACACCCCTCAAAGAAAGGGGTGCGGGGGTCGCCACGAGAGGCACCTACAGCGACGATGCTCGCCTCAGCTGCAAGTAGTTCCTTCTCGAGGAGGGCAATGGTGAGCTCAGTGGGGCAGCGAGCTAGGAAGTGATCCCTGACTGCGCGCAGAGAGTCAGGGAGGCGAGTGACGATGTGGTAGAGAGTGAGCCAGAGCGGGGGGGGGTTCCTAGCAAGGAACTCATCGGGCATAGCAGCGCGGAAGCGGGCCTCACTAGTCTTGAGGTGGGTGATGAGGTCAGCAACTGTGTGAAAGGAGGCCAGGTCGGGGAACAGGTAGGGGAGGGAGAGGCGGCCTAGTGCGGCAGAAGCAGGTGAGGAGTAGCGAGCAACGACAGCAGTGTACAGTTCCTTAGCAGTCTTGTGCTGGCCAAAGTGCTCGCGCTCATCTATCGGCAGGGAGTTGCGAATAGCAAAGCGAGCGTGGGCGTCACGAGTCTGCCACTGTGAGCGGGCAGTGCTGTCAGCAGAAGTATCAGGGGCAGTAGCATGGCCTAGGGCGTGATCGTACAGTGAGATGTCCTCCTTGGCAGTGAGCTGTAGGAAGAGGTGCAGGTCATCTAGCCAGGTGTCGAACTTCACTGGGCGGCCCTCGGCATCGAAAGCGAGTACAGGAGGACTAGCCATAGTGGCAGCAGCAGTAGCAGTAGGGCCGCTAAGAGGCGGTGTGTGGGGTCGACGGGGCCAGCGGGGCCTTTATGCGTGGCGCGCGCGGGGACAGCGGGGCCTCTAGGCGGGGCGTGCGCACGGGGTCGGCGGGGTCGCGAGGCCTCTAGGCGGGCCGGCGGGGTGTCTAGGCGGAGTGCGAGCGGGGTCGACGAGTCGGAGGGGGGCTCTAGCTAAACGGGGTGCGCGCGGGGTCGACGGGGCCGGCGGGGCCTCTAGGCGGGGCGCGCACGGTATCGACGGGGCCAGCGGGGCCTCTAAGCGTGGCGCGCGCGCTGTCGACGGGGCCAGCGGGGCCTTAAGCGGGGCGCGCGCGCGGTCGACCGGGCCAGCGGGGCCGGAAAAAAAAAAAGAAGCACGCGAGGGCGCTGGGGGAGGCGCTAAGGCGCGCTCCGGGAGTAGGGCGCACGAGGGCGCTAGTAGAGAGTAAGTAGTGGTGGGCCCGAAGGAGAATTAGGTCCTAGCGAAGGACCTGCTCTGATACCATGTCAGAATAACTGAGCAGGAATGAATGAACTAGCAGTGAGTCAGGTACAAATATGAAACCCTAGAATTGTGACCCCCCTACAGGCTAACCCACTATAGCCTACACAAATATAACATGTATAATGTTTGACATCAGCGCGCTCCTTAGCATCGCCGATAGCGCCCCTTAGCAACGCCCGTCGCGTCCCTTAGCGGCGCACGATGTTGCAGCGCCCGTCGCGCTCCTTAGCAGCGCCCGAAGTTGATTGACATGTGATGTAAATAGAAGACCGTCAAGTCCTGCAATGGGGATAGATAGACATTGCAGACATTAACATTATTATGGTAGTGTCAATAAATAAAAAAACATACGACCGCTAACATCTCAACCAGCAATGAAAACCATCACATTGTTGCATAGAAAAGCGAAAACTGGATTTACATAACTATATGTCTAACATCCTCATAGCTAGACGGGAAGTACATAAATCGTAGGGCTAGGATAAGCAAAACAGATCTCACGAAGGGCAAAAAATGGGCAAACGTAAAGCTTAGACTACAAAATGGAGCATATAGATCTGAAAGACATGGACAAGTCGAGGGTGGTTGAGTAATGAGTTAGCACTTGTTTGTCAGAATGTTGTATTTGTCTAGCCTACAGTGGGGTACTCTATAGCGAGTACAGCCCAATCTAGGGTTTGCTATTTGTATCTCAACTGCTGCTAGTCCAAACCCTCTTTCTGCTTCTAAACTTCTTGCTTACCTTTCTGACATGGTATCAGAGCGAGCACGTTCCTGCCGCTTACCTCAATGGGCCCACCACCTTACTGCTTCCGCTGCTACTGCTACTCTGTGTGTTGCACGCCCCGAGGCGTGCGACAGATTTTTTCATCCCGCCGCGCGCTCGGAGCGTGCGGCGGTTTTCTTCCCGCCGTGCGCCCCGAGGCGCGCGGCGGTTTTCTGCCCGCCGTGCGCCCCGAGGCGCGCGGCGGTTTTCTGCACGCCGTGCGCCCCGAGGCGCGCGGCGGCTTTCTGCCCCGTCACTCCGCGCGTCGCCCCCGGGAGGCGCTGCGACGGGCGACGGGGACCCGCGCGTCGCCCCCCGTCGCCCGTCGTGGCCCACGCGACCTACGTCGGGCCCGCGCGCGGCCCGTACAGCCTGCGCGCGGCCCGTACGGGCTGCGCCAGGCCCGCGCGCGGCCCGTACGGGCTGCGCCAGGCCCGCGCGCGGCCCGTACGGACTGCGCCAGGCCAGCCCGCGCCTCACTGGAGCCGCCCGCCACTGCAGCAGCCGCCCCTGGAGTCGCCCGCCACTGCAGCAGCCGCCCCTGGAGCCGCCCGCCACTGCAGCAGCCGCCCCTGGAGCCGCCCGCCACTGCAGCAGCCGCCCCTGGAGTCGCCCGCCACTGCAGCAGCCGCCCCTGGAGCCGCCCGCCACTGCAGCAGCCGCCCCTGGAGTCGCCCGCCACAGCAGCAGCCGCCCCTGGAGCAGCCGCCCCTGCAGCAGCAGCCCCTGGAGCCGCCCGCCACTGCAGCAGCCGCCCCTGGAGTCGCCCGCCACAGCAGCAGCCGCCCCTGGAGCCGCCCGCCGCTGCAGCAGCCGCCCCTGGCCCCTGGAGCAGCCGCCCCTGGCCCCTGGAGCAGCCGCCTCTGGACCTCTGCAGCAGCTGCCCGTGCTCTCTGCGCCCTCGTGCGCTCTGTCTCACCCGCGCCCTCGTGCGCTCTACTACTACCCGCGCCCTCGTGCGCTCTGCTGCTGCCCGCGCCCTCGTGCGCTCTACTACTACCCGCGCCCTCGTGCGCTCTACTACTACCCGCGCCCTCGTGCGCTCTGCTGCTGCCCGCGCCCTCGTGCGCCCTGCTGCTGCCCGCGCCCTCGTGCGCTCTACTACTACCCGCGCCCTCGTGCGCTCTACTACTACCCGCGCCCTCGTGCGCTCTGCTGCTGCCCGCGCCCTCGTGCGCCCTGCTGCTGCCCGCGCCCTCGTGCGCTCTACTACTACCCGCGCCCTCGTGCGCTCTACTACTACCCGCGCCCTCGTGCGCTCTGCTGCTGCCCGCGCCCTCGTGCGCCCTGCTGCTGCCCGCGCCCTCGTGCGCTCTACTACTACCCGCGCCCTCGTGCGCTCTACTACTACCCGCGCCCTCGTGCGCCCTGCTGCTGCCCGCGCCCTCGTGCGCTCTGTTCTGTTCTGCTGCCCCCCCCCCCCCCCCCCGTCCCCAGGACAGGAGTGTGGGGGTGACAGGTATGGGGGTGCTCCGTGTGCGTCGTCCCTTCCTCCTCCTTCGTCTCCCACTGCTGCAGCTGCCGCTGAGGGGGGTGGAGGTGTGGGAGCCGAAGGGAGTGGCGCTAGGGGGGTGATGTGGGAGTGGAGCTAGAGGTGAAACAGGGGATGTGTGTAGGGGGGTGTGGGACAGTTGGAGGAGGCTGCAGCACCTGTAGTCCGGGGCGCACTGTCCTGGTAGCTCAGAGAGCCTGCTGCGCCTGTGTGTCTGCAGCTTCAGTCGTCGTCTCCAATCTTCTCTCCCTTCACAGTTCCTCCTCCTCCTCACTTGCCCTCTGTGATAGCCTCTAGCTTTGCTGATAATTGTGAACTTTTGATGTGACTGCTGATTGTGCTGATTACACCCCACTTTGACTATGGGGGTGTGTCAGATTATGTTATTTGTCTAGCCTGCAGTGGGGTGCTCAATAGTGAGTACAACCCCTTTAGGGTTTCCTATTTGTACCAACCTGCTTGCTAGTTCAATCATCCTCCATTCTCTCTTCTCCAATTCTCCTTCGTATACCCCAAACCCTAGCTCTAGGGCACAACCTACCTACTCTATGTGTGGGCCTAGGCTACTAAGCCTAGGCCCCACTCCTAGTATTCATGACATTGTTGTGTAGGGATTGCATGGCTAATGTTTCCCGAACCTAACCTGCACAGGAAGGCGTTTGTGTGGCAGGTGGTGTGACATGTGGCAAAGGTGGCAACAGGTGGCAACATGTTACGAGGGAGTTTTTGGATAATGCGCCAGCATATCCGATAATAACAATTGGGTTTATTAGTTTCATGACCTATTTAGCGTAGCGGTTCATATGTGGCGCATGCGATTGAGTGGTCACAGGATCGATTCCTGCTCGTGGACTAGAAGTCGTGTTGTTCGGAAGCATGCATTTTTGTTTCGTTTTAAACAATTTTAGGTTTGGTAGAAAGCACCTGGCAAGTATCGATCCCCCGACCTTCTGCATAATAACGTGAATCGGAGTCTTTTTGGACAAATTCCGGATACTTCGCATTTTGGCTACTTTACGGATATTTTTTGGCCCTTCAATTTTGGGTGAAGTTTCTTTTTGAACATTTTCGAGGTGTCAAAAGACACAAAATGGACCACCTAGCTGGCCGGCTGCATTTCGGACCGACACTTTTTCATCCATGATGGATAAGCCGAGAAACTGGACATTACACCTTTTACGAAATGCATAATCGGAGTCTGGGGCCGTACGACAGGAATATGTGCAATTGCACTTCGGTCGTTGTTGCTCGCACATGCTACACAAAATGGCATGACATGCTCCTTGGTGGTGTCCCGTGCGATCGCACTATAACTTCTGCAAACTGCCACGCGGAGATGAACACAAACAATATTAGGACAGAGGCCACGGGTTTCGATGGGGAAACACTCATGAGCGCCACATGTCATTAACTAACATAGAGAAACAAATGGTATCGCCATTAGCAAGAATGACATCACGATTGACGCATGCGTTTGCCTTCTTTCGCGATGGATGTTGCGTGCGGATTGGATCAAGGCCATGGGAAACAAACGGAAGTTGCTGGCGTGTGGGTTATGATATCCCAATAGACCCTCACCAGCACTGTTGTCCCATTGGCTGTCCGGAAGTTGACATCTTGTCGCTTAGTGTGCGGTAGCGCTAATGCTACCATGAACTACCTTGGGAAATGGAGGTGGGAGGGGAGGTAGGAGTTGTGTGGGGTGGATGCAGAATGAGATACATAAACGGAGTAGCTTCAGCATGGCAAAACTACTACCGCTGGCGCCGGAAGTAGCATTTGAGATGTGCGGCTACACAAGGCTCGGGGCGGCCTAGCTTTTATCTCTAAAAGCCTTGAGCGTGCTGGTGGATCTTGAAGAGTAGTGTGCTGATGGCTGTTGAAGTGCGGAGATTGGTGGATAGGTGTGAATGGAGGCGAGCATAATATTGAAGAATGAACTATGAACAACACAAGTGAAATGCAGAGAACATTTATATGGCGAATGGGGGAAGGGTTTCACGATAGCAGAGGCACGGGTGGTTGGGGTGGGCAGATATTGGAGGCTGGCGTATGTACGTTTATGAGCTATAACAATTGGTTGGAACGATTCGTGAGGCTCGGCTTCAATGGTTCTGAGAGTGGGAGATATGGGTAGGGTTGCGACGTGGACCATCTAGAATTCTCTTTTAGCAATGTACACGGTTTGAAGTAGCTATGATTGGACCGCGGGTTGCACTTCTCGGTCTGATATGTAGCTTTGATTGGTTTGCATATGTCACTGTTGAGTCCGACGCATAGCTGCCATCCGTATTTGATGGAATCAACTAGATTCGGTTTTTACGACATTCACGAAATCTGTTTCCCCGTCTATTTTTTTTCGCTAGTGTTCGGGTTGCTTCGCATGCCTCGTGATCACTACCTAACAAGAGTCTAAACCTTCTTAGAGCTATACATTAGACCCACAAAAGTGGCCGCAATTGGTACAGTGGTTGTTTAATGAGTCACCAGTGTCGCGTATCGGAATCCGAATGTGCTGTATTCGGACCGCTACATCAAAAACTTGGTCGAATCGCGCAATTCGAGCCCAAATTTGTGCGTGTGTCGCTAGATGTGACTCTGCAGTGACTTTTATGTATGCAGAAAGGAGACACAAAAATGTTACGGAGTGTGCGGTTAGGTTTTCGGAGCTCGTTGGGACTTTTCGGGTACTTTTCGGGAGAAAAACCTACAGAGGGCCAAATTTGAGGCCAAACATTTTCGCGATGTGGATAGCACAAGTAGGTATCCAATCCAGCTTCTGTACTTTCCTTAAAAGTCTGTCCAGATGCGTTGGCTCACATCGCAGATCATGTGATGTGATGTCAGCGCGTACGACAAAATCACGGAGAACTGTGACCCTACGACCAGGGAACGGCTACTACTAGAAACTTTCTAGACTTGAAGTCTAGTATCGTCGCAATCGCAGGCGCACGAATGGTCCACATTGCGGCTTTGCGTCCATTCGTACGCCCCGCCAGCATGATAATCACTGGGTTAATCCCTGCTGGCAGCAGTAGGCACATGGACGGGCCAAGGTCTGGTATGGACCCGTCGATGCCGAACAAGGGGCATCGCGTAGTCCCAGCAGCAGCATACCATCTGCGTCGTGACGACAATCTTCGCAGCGGCGGCTCTCCGACTCCCAAACAATTTCTCAGACGTTGTGATTGTTAGGACCCCGACCCCCCCCCCCCCCCCCCCCCCCCCCCTCCCCTCCTCCCTACAACAGTACTTCTAGAAGTGGTGAGTGCCTTTCTAGTCAGCGTCTTCAACTGTTCCCTGATAGACAACTCGATATTGTAGTTTGTTGTCTTTATTCTTTCCTTCCTTCTTTTTCTTTTGGTAATCAGCCAGACCGTCTGTTCAGTCCTTTGACGTTCACCACAGCCATGGAGCTCCCTACCCTGCCGCTGCCTTTTCTTGACTTGCACTGCTCGCCAGAGTGCGCTGCAGACTGCGACGGAGTCCACATCTCCTGGAAGGTGCAAGAAACCGCGGGAGCAACTGGATGGGAACCCGTGGGTACTAGCAGCAGCAAATGCGCTGCATTGTCCATGGGAGCCCAGGCGGCGGACGAACAGATTGTGACGTCCAGCTGTACGGATCATTCGTTGCTGCCTCTGCCAGTGATTTCCTCTGGCACGAACAGCATGGCTATGGAGTCAGTGCTCGGTGATTTGTTCAAGGTGCAAGGCTGGCCTGATTTCATGCCGTCGATCTCTGAGTCCCAACAGCTCCATGTGCGAGCCCTGACACATGTCAGCATCTCACACGGCTGCGGGGGACACGTCAGCATGCTGACTCAGCCGTCCCTGCCAGGTCAGGGTTTCACACAGATGACAACAACAGCTGCTTCACCCTCGCGTGTTTCGACCCATGATGAGATTCATTCGGTGGTGATGAATTCAGCTGCTGCTTCATTGCCCAATCGCGAGCCGCCTCAACATTCTATGGCGGCGCCGCCTGCTGCGGTCTATAATCAGATCCACTCCATGCTGAACACTCATGCTGCCGCCACCACCGCCGCCGCAGCTGTTGCTGCATTGCCTGATGCTGTGCCGATCGCAGCTTGGCAGTTGCAGTCTCTTGAACAAGGAGCGTCACTGTCGTTACGATCAGCGCACGCGCAAGCAACACCAGCCCAAAGATTGGAAGGCAGCACCCAAGGCGGGCCCCAACCACTAATCCGTGATGGAACCCCAGCAATCCGTGACGGAACCCTGTACGACATGATTGTGTCGGGAAGATTCAAGCGGAAGGGCTCTTCCAGCTGGTGGGATGATGATTCGATTGCGGAGACCCCAGCCAACATGCAGCCTCGGAAAACGCAATGTCTGGTGGGTGGTGATGGAGGACTGGGTTTAAAAGGCCCTCACAGTGGGACGCCTAACGCAGGATCGCTCGCTTCTGGTAGTCAATGCGACATCATATGTCTAGACCCGCCCAGGACAAGAGTGGAGTTTCCTGCTCCGATCCCTGCCGTTGGATCCACTGCAGCCATCGTCGGCTCTGTTGCTGTGAGCCGTCCACCTGCTGCTGCCACGGAAAGGGCAGCGTCGTTGGATCCATTGTCGACAAGGTCGGCTCTGGGAGCAACACAAGGGGCAGATCTGCCAGCACAGTCTGCACACACAAGCCTGAGGGACCAAGCGGGTGGCAATGGGCTGGGCTTGGATCGGCCGCCTATTCATCGCCGACACGCTGTCGAGAAGCTTAGAAGACACCGGATTAGGTAATTACAGCTTGGCACAAATTGTTTGAGCGTGCTCATTTCAGTGGGTTCATCTAAGATTAACAAGGTTGCCCTGTGCACTCCCACCTTCCATTTTCTGCAGTGCAGGCTTCAAGCGGCTTGAAAAGATTCTGCCACCCACGTGGATGCGCCAGAAACATCAGTTAAACATGTCATCGCGAACGGACATGGCGTCGCTGTTGGATGCTGCAGTTGACTCCATTAGGGAGTTGGAGGTGAGGACAACTTCATATGCACGGTAATGATTTGGTGCTTGTTTTGCATTAAGTTGCTGATATTCCCGTTATGCACTACTGTGGTGGTATACAGGACCGAAAGGCCCAACTTGCACAAGCTTACATTCAGCAAGTGTCAGAATCGCAGCAATGACTAGCAAGACTTTCTTGCTTATTGGATACAACATATGAATAGAGTATGATTAATTTACCGGCACATGAAAGCTGTTTTGTTGGCCGGGGATCTGAATGGTTCTTATGGGATGGAAAGTCCAGAGAAGAATTGCATCATATATGCAAGATTTGTACCAAGTAGTATTTTTGAATAATTCACTACGCGGTCCAGAAGTATAGTGTGCTTCTGAACTCCTCCCGAAGGTCCCGCTTTTGGAAGAGGACTTGCAATTGGGAACCAATGGTGGAGTCGGGTCGGGAACGGCTCACAGTGTTGAGAAGCTTTCGTAAAGATTATACGCGTCAAGAACTTGTGGTCAGAACGGTGCAAGTGACCCCTATGACCAGCGTCCCCTCTAACGAAGACTGGGCGAGCTTGAGATGGTAACAGCGTCCCCTCTAACCATCCTGTTCCTCTTCAGCTGCTTCTTTTCGTGCCTTTCCTGGCCTTCATCTCTCGTCTAGGGATGAGCAATATGACGAACACCTGTTCGGTTCGCCTCGAACGTGTTCGAGGCGAACCGAACAGGATTTTTTTTTGGCCTAAAGTGTTCGGGGCGAACGTGTTCGGTGTTCGCCCGAACACGTTCGCCGTTCGCCCGGCTCAGCTGGCCGAGGCGCGTCGAACACGAACGTGTTCGTGTTCGACACGGTCCTTTGATGAACACCAATGTGTTCGTCGACGAATAGGCCCGCGACCAATTTTTAGGTCGCGGGCCTTGGTGTTTGGGCTCAGATCAAGGCATTTCGCCGTTGCTTAAGTGCGGATCAAGGCATTTCGCCGTTGCTTAAGTGCGGATCAAGGCATTTCGCCGTTGCTTAAGTATAGATCTAACATTTCGCCGTTGCTTAAGTGCGGATCAAGCATTTCGCCGTTGCTTAAGCTCAGATCTAGCATTTCGCCGTTGCTTAAAGCAGCAGTATACATTTGACACTACTGTTTGTTTTGTTCAGTGTACAAAGGCAATTTCGCCACAACGAGGAAAAAACACGTTGGCGAGAGGGTTGGCGAAAGGTGAGGCCTGGCTGTTGTGAGGGGGAGCCAGGGTTGGGAAGTTTGTCAATCACAAAATGGGATATTCTCCCATCACCAAACTCACCTTGCCTCTCACACAGGAACAAGAGACGTAGCTAATAGAAGGAAGAAAGAAGCAAGTAGTGGCGACACGTCGAGTGCTAGTGACGCCTCGCGTTCGCTCTGCCGCAATTCCGGCTTTGCGCGTATACAAAGACGCGCTCGCGCCGTCTCGTCCGCCCAGACGCATTCGCGCCGTCGCCGTCGCGCCGCCGCATAGAAGCCGCATTCCCCCTGTCGCAACCCCCCTTCGACATTCCCTTGCCGCATCTCACCCTCCGCATTCCGTCACAAACTACAAAGCTACGCTCACACACTTGGCGAGGCGAATCAGCGACTATTTACTAGGAATTGCCCGTGGGCTTGGGCTGGCTAATAGCTATACCAACAGCAAGGCTGTTCACCTAGTCGCGCGTGAATAACTATACACGTAGGCTAAGCCTTGAAAAAGACCATCAATCGAGCCCCCCATCTCCCTTTTAGTAGCCCCGCCGCTTTGCATTCGGACTGCCACCGCGTGGCATTCGCCGAGCCTGCTGTGCATGCAGCGCGCCCGTCGTAACCTATTTCGTAAGCACCACGGCGAGTTGCATTTTGCGGGATCGCCGCAATGCAATCGTTGCATTCAAATCGACACATCGCCCCTACTTCCCCTCCTTTCTCCCCCTTGCTTCCCCTCCTTTCTCCCCCTTGCTTCCCCTCCTTTCTCCCCCTTGCTTCCCCTCCTTTCCCTCCCTTGTTTCCCCCCCTTTCCCTCCTACCCTCCCCTGTATCCCCTCCTTTCCCCCCCTGCATCCCCTCCTTTCCGCCCCTGCTTCCCCTTCTTCCCCCCCCTTCTGTTCCTCCTTTCCGCCCCTGCTTCCCCTCCTTTCCCTCCAAACCCCTGACTGCATCCCTCCTTTCCCCCCCTTCATCCCCTCCTTCCCCCCCCTGCTTTTCCTCCTTTCCGCCCCTGCTTCCCCACCTTTCCCCCACTTTCTTCCCCTCCTTTTCCCCCCTTGCTTCCCCTCCTTTCCCCCCCGTGCTTTCCCTGCTTTCCCCCACTGCATCCCTCCTTTCCCCCACTGCATCCCTCCTTTCCCCGCCTTCATCCCCTCCTTTCCCCCCATGATTTTCCTCCTTTCCGCCCCTGCTTCCCCACCTTTCCCCCACTTTCTTCCCCTCCTTTTCCCCCCTTGCTTCCCCTCCTTTTCCCCCCTTGCTTCCCCTCCTTTTCCCCCCTTGCTTCCCCTCCTTTTCCCCCCTTGCTTCCCCTCCTTTTCCCCCCTTGCTTCCCCTCCTTTCCCCCCTATGCTTTCCCTGCTTTCCCCCACTGCATCCCTCCTTTCCCCCACTGCATCCCTTCTTTCCCTCACTGCATCCCTCCTTTCCCCCACTCATCCCTCCTTTCCCCCACTGCATCCCTCCTTTCCCCCACTGCATCCGTCCTTTCCCTCACTGCATCCCTCCTTTCCCCCACTCATCCCTCCTTTCCCCCACTGCATCCCTCCTTTCCCCCACTGCATCCCTCCTTTCCCCCACTGCATCCCTCCTTTCCCCCACTGCATCCCTCCTTTCCTCCCCTTCATCCCCTCCTTTCCCCCCCTGATTTTCCTCCTTTCCGCCCCTGCTTCCCCACCTTTCCCCCACTTTCTTCCCCTCCTTTTCCCCCCTTGCTTCCCCTCCTTTCCCCCCCGTGCTTTCCCTGCTTTCCCCCACTGCATCCCTCCTTTCCCCTCACTGCATCCCTCCTTTCCCCCACTGCATCCCTCCTTTCCCCCACTCATCCCTCCTTTCCCCCCTCCATCCCCTCCTTTCCCCCCCTGATTTTCCTCCTTTCCGCCCCTGCTTCCCCACCTTTCCCCCACTTTCTTCCCCTCCTTTCCCCCACTGCAGTGGTGCAGGCACTGGCAGCGCATGGTGAGTCAGAGCGGTGGTGGTGTTGCCCACTCGAGACCAACTCACATCTACCTCGGCTCACTTTCCCAGCCAATGTTTAACCATCAACCTTCCTCTCCCACCTGAGGGGTCCTTCACATCTCCACTCCCTGCCTTCACATCTCCACTCCCTGCCTTCACATCTCCACTCCCTGCCTTCACATCTCTTTTCACCTCACCTCCCGTGTCATGGCCTGGTAGCCAGCACCACTGCGCTGGTGCGAGTGTGTGTGAAGTTGGGCCCGGGTTGTTGCGTGCGTTACTACATGAACAGGACGCCATTCCGCCCAATTCATCCCCTTCTTTCCTGCTTTTCCCTTCCCTGACCTTCCTTCCATGCCCTTCCCATCCCTGCCCTTCCCATCCCTGCCCTTCCCATCCCTGCCCTTCCCATCCCTGCCCTTCCCATCCCTGCCCTTCCCATCCCTGCCCTTCCCATCCCTGCCCTTCCCATCCCTGCCCTTCCCATCCCTGCCCTTCCCTTCCCTGCCCCACCCTTCCCTTCCCGATCCCTTCTCCCTTCACATCTCCCTGCATGCCCTCCCCTTCCCCCTCACTCACTTTTCCCTTCCGCCCCCTAGTTCTTGTGCATATGGTGACATCACTTGCGTGTATTCAGGGTCTGTTTCTCCTCCGCCTCACAGCACGTCCCCATTGGGTCCACACAATCGTTTCTGCCTACTCAGCTACCGTGATTGGTAGTTTTGAAACAGGGCAGCAGATGCAAGCAGAGGGCAGCTAGTAGTGGATGGTGCTCACAACTTATGTGTAGTCTCATGTGCGTTGAGTGTGTTACTGCTAGAGATATTCGTCACACATCCCGCTACGCGCTACCACAATTTTAGCAGTGCAGATCATCCATCAAAGATGCATGGACAGTGAAGGTGTCACATCAAATTCGGGTAGAAAAAAAATATGTTCTCGATAAGATGAATACTGTACTAGTGACCCTTTCTCTAGCTGATTTGATTTGAGATGATGGCGTGAGCCCGTGTTGAAGCATGAAGATCTTCAGAGCAACTGGACACTGAAACCGGAACGGTAGTTGGGGAGAGGGGGGGTATTCAAACCATAGGCTGTGATGACACAAGTGAGGAGGGGAAAAGAGGGGAATCAGGGGGGGAAATGAGGGGAATCAGGGGGGGAAATGAGGGGAATCAGGGGGGGAAATGAAGGGAGGCAGGAGGGGAGATGGGGATGCAGGGAGGGGAGATGGGGATGCAGGGAGGGGAGATGGGGATGCAGGGAGGGGAGATGGGGATGCAGGGAGGGGAGAAGGGGATGCAGGGAGGGGAAATGGGGATGCAGGGAAGGGAGAAGGGGATGCAGGGAGGGGAGATGGGGATGCAGGGAGGGGAGATGGGGATGCAGGGAGGGGAGATGGGGATGCAGGGAGGGGAGATGGGGATGCAGGGAGGGGAGATGGGGATGCAGGGAGGGGAGATGGGGATGCAGGAAGGGGAGATGGGGATGCAGGGAGGGGAGATGGGGATGCAGGGAGGGGAGAAGGGGATGCAGGGAGGGGAGATGGGGATGCAGGGAGGGGAGAAGGGGATGCAGGGAGGGGAGATGGGGATGCAGGGAGGGGAGAAGGGGATGCAGGGAGGGGAGATGGGGATGCAGAGAGGGGAGAAGGGGATGCAGGGAGGGGAGATGGGGATGCAGGGAGGGGAGATGGGGATGCAGGGAGGGGAGATGGGGATGCAGGGAGGGGAGATGGGGATGCAGGGAGGGGAGATGGGGATGCAGGGAGGGGAGATGGGGATGCAGGGAGGGGAGAAGGGGATGCAGGGAGGGGAGATGGGGATCCAGGGAGGGGAGAAGGGGATGCAGGGAGGGGAGATGGGGATGCAGGGAGGGGAGATGGGGATGCAGGGAGGGGAGATGGGGATGCAGGGAGGGGAGATGGGGATGCAGGGAGGGGAGATGGGGATGCAGGGAGGGGAGAAGGGGATGCAGGGAGGGGAGATGGGGATGCAGGGAGGGGAGAAGGGGATGCAGGGAGGGGAGATGGGGATGCAGGGAGGGGAGATGGGGATGCAGGGAGGGGAGATGGGGATGCAGGGAGGGGAGATGGGGATGCAGGGAGGGGAGATGGGGATGCAGGGAGGGGAGATGGGGATGCAGGGAGGGGAGATGGGGATGCAGGGAGGGGAGATGGGGATGCAGGGAGGGGAGATGGGGATGCAGGGAGGGGAGATGGGGATGCAGGGAGGGGAGATGGGGAGGCGGAAAGGGGAGATCGAGAGGCGGAAAGGGGAGATGGGGAGGCGGAAAGGGGAGATCGAGAGGCGGAAAGGGGAGATCGAGAGGCGGAAAGGGGAGATCGAGAGGCGGAAAGCGGAGATCGAGAGGCGGAAAGGGGAGATCGAGAGGCGGAAAGGGGAGATCGAGAGGCGAAAAGGGGAGATCGAGAGGTGGAAAGCGGAGATCGAGAGGCGGAAAGCGGAGATCGAGAGGAGGCAAGGGGAGATCGAGAGGCAGAAAGGGGAGAAGGGCTGGTGGGACCGGGAGGCCGTTTCGGTTCTGTGTCGCGATATCAGCTGCGGCTGCCTCGGCTAGTGCGGTAATGGGGTAGCGAGGCCGTACGAGCAGGCGGCGACTGTGATCCAGCGAGAGCACACTGTTCGGCAGATTGAGGCGCGGCGATCTTGTCCACAGAACGTGAGGACTTATCGTGGTGCGGCGAAGCGACGCCGCGATGGGAAACGAGGCGAGGCTGCGAGACGAGGTCCGGCGAGGCAGCTCGGCGAGGCCGCGAAGGAAGGCGAGAAAGGCATGTCAGCGGAAGGCAACGACAAAGTCCCGGAAACCAATGCGATGCAGCGAGGGGCGATGCGAGGCAATGGACTGGCATGTGACGAGAGTGACAATTACGCTATTTTCTGGCGATTGAAAGCGAATTTGGCGAGCTACGCCTCGGCGGATTCCTAGGTGCGTGCCCTAAATCTAAGCGCTGCGCTGTGGTCGCTTCGCACTACGTTTTCTTATGGGGAGTATGTACTAGGCGATTGGCTACCTGGGGAACGCCTTCAGTATACTTTTGGCAAACTATAAACTTCTGACTTGGTGGATTTCCCCCTTCTGAGTGGAGTCCCTTCGCTTGTTTTTTACGCTCATGCAGGTTGTAATTGGGTTACCATGATGTACCATTTATAAACTTTTGGCACTGGCCTTGCCAAATGTATACCGCTGCTTTAAGCGTAGATCTAGCATTTCGCCTTTGCTTAAAGCCCGAGTCCCAAATTGCGGGCCGCGCGGGTCAAGCTTTTAAAACTTGACGAACTAGTGTTTTCAAGGTTTGAAGAAAAGCGTGCCTGCAATTTGGGACTTTTGGGAACTGAACCAACCCCCAGGGCGAAATACGAGGGCGGGCTGGGTTTGGCGAAAAAAAACGAAAAAAGCGAAATCGGAATCTTTCGCCAAAACCCTCACCACAAAAACCCCCTCGCGTCAACCTTTTAAAACTTGTGCAATTTGGGCTGCCGGCTTTAAGCGTAGATCTAGCATTTCGCCGTTGCACAAGCGTAGATCTAGCATTTCACCGTTGCACGCTGGCACTAGCATGGATGAAGCAGGGCGGGACTGGCTTGGGGGGCGGGGGGAGGGAATGTGAAACATTTGGATTTCACTCTACTTGGATCTGAGAAGGCCCTTTAAGGCAAACGCGAACATGTTCTGGGCGAACGTGTTCGTGTTCGCCAAAACGTTCGAAATGTTCGCCTCTCTTGGCGAACTTCGAACACCCTTTTTGGTGTAAAGTGTTCGGCGAACCGAACACTGTTCGGTTCGCCGAACGGCCATGTTAGAGCCCAGGCGAACACGAACATGTTCGTGTTCGCCATTTGCTCATCCCTCTCGTCATTCGTCTGGCAAGCAATGCGGTGGTTGCTGTAGCACGCGTAGTGCAGTCGTTACTTGAGCCTGAGGGGTCAGAAATTACTGTGTCGTAAAGCCGTCGACTTGCATTCGTGCCTCGGCGTTGTGTGGCTTTACCCGGCCATACCCGGCAAGCTTTCATGATTCGTACAGTGATTCGACTGCGGCTTCTCCAGCTGGAATGTCGCTGGGCTGGACTAACTTCGCCTGGCGCGTCTCGCGGGTTCTGCCTGATGCACAGAATCATGAGGGGGAGAGCATAGCCTCCTCTGAAACGAGCCGTTGAGCGGACAGCAGGAAGTACCCGGTATTGCTGGCGAAAAAGCTCAAAATCCTGATGAACCTGATGCCCGAATATATTCGTCTCAGGTACTGTAGCTTCAGAGTTCGCTAAATACCGAATCTGCTCCGAAAACCGTCTAGGAGGGATCAATGTAGACTCTAATGTGCATACGAGCATACCGCTCGCTCCGAGCATGACGCTATAATGGGGGTTAACCAGGCCCCCACACTACTTGATTAGATTTCGCAATAGTTTATCTTATCCACAAATCACCGCATCTCGTTCTGCAAGAACCACTCGTTTCTTGGACTGCTCCTTCCAAGAAAGCCATGGGGATTTGGTTCCTCTCCCGTGCAGCCTTCCGCTGTACTACCCAGTCAACGCGAATTGAAGCTTAGAAAGAAGGCTACATCATTTCCGTCGTCGTCGCAGCCCTCATTAACCGTCGAACCCATGACGTCGAATCATTTGTTGGGTCGACGCAGAAAATTCCTAACGTCAGGCGCACTGATGGTTCGGCGTTCGTAGTCGTATTCCCGCATCGTACTCGCCGCAGCTCTTTTCAGCATTTATTGCACCCCGACCTCGTGACACCGTCAGATCGTTAACATCAGGCACCCTGATGATCGAGATTTCGACCTCCAACCTCGAGATTTCACAAATCGCGTACAGTTTCTTACTGGAACTGATCCCATCCCAGCTATATGGTCCACATGAGTATGGGAGAGTGCGGCGTGCAAGCGTATGAGCAAACAGACCTGGAGTGACGCATGAACATCCTGGACACCGCTTGAACTCAACGACTGCATTATAGTTCGAAGGTTTCCTTGGATCTGTCATTTTCAGAGGCCTGTTTCTACCTGTTGTTGCTAGCCGAGAGAGACCTTTCGGGTCCATTTCCCTTCGTTTCTTCAGGTGGACAAGAAATTCCGCTTGCCACTTTTCCTTACTATGGAGCTCCCTAGTAATGTCCCGCTGCCCTTTCTTGACTTCCGCTGCTCGTTGGAGTGCGCTGCAGACTGCGACGGAGTGCACATCTCCTGGAAGGTGCAGGAAACTGGAGGGAAGGCGCAGCGGAACGTGGGAGCAACTGAATCTTGTGCTCCAGTGCTGATGGGAGCCTGCGCGGACGAGTTGACGTTCAATCCCGGCATGGGTTCGCTGCCTGTGGTTCCTTGCACAGCGAACAGCATGGCGGAATCAACCCTCAGTGGTTCAGTCCCAAGGGAAGGCTTTTCAGTGGAAGGCTGGACGAGCCTCATCGCGTCAATTCGTGAGGCCGAATCACTCCGCGAGGAAGCCCTGACAATTCCCAGCATGCCCTCAGGCGGAGGTCGTGTCAGCATGCTGACTCAGCCCTCGCTAACTGGTCAGATTTTCGCACCGACGATGGCAGTAGCTGCGGTTCCAGCTCCTGTTTCAGCTCATCAGAGGAGACATTTAGCGGTGAACACTTCAGCTGCTTCTGCTGCTGCTGCTGCTGCTGCTGCTGCTGCTGCTGCTGATACTGCTGCTGCATGGCCAGGCACTGTGCCAAGTGCAGCGACTTCACAGTCCCCTCCAGTTCATGGTCTCCCCCAAGAGGAGCTGCTGCCCGTGAGACCAGCGCAAGCAGCGCTGACACAACCTATCAGTACAGGAGGAGCCAGTCCTGCTGGACTCCTGGTTAAGAATGGTAACATTCCAGCAGCGCATGGTGGAACGCAGTTTGAAGCACTTCGAGAAGCTCGGACACACGCGCCAGGAGGCCACACCCACGATGGAACCCTGTTGTCTCCCAGAAGGAACACCCTAGCAGCAACGCATGATGGAATGCTGTGCGATATGATTTTGTCGGGGAGGTTCAAGCGCAAGGGCTTGTCCAGCCGGTGCAACGAAGATTTGATTGCTGAGGTCCTGGCCATGCGACCTCGGATAAGGCAGCGCTTGGTGGGTGAAGGACTGGGTACCAAAAGCCCTGACAGCAGTATGGGAACAGGCTCACTGATTGCAGCTACCAGCGCTACCAGTGACAGTGGCGGCAGTGCTCGGATAATGTCTGGAACGTACCCATTGATTAGTGCTGGTTTGGTTGATGCGCCTGGTTCCTCTGTTTCTGCTCCCGTCATCGCTGGCTCTACTGCTGTGAGCCCACCTGCTGCTGCTGCCGCTGAAATGGCTTCAAGAAGGGCAGCCGAGCCAGCTCCGCTTGCACATTCAACCTGGAGGAACAAGGGCGGCAGCAAAAGGCTAGTCTTGCAGCAGCTGCCTGGTCGCAGCAAAAGCGTCACAGAGAAGCTCAGAAGACACCGGGTCAGGTAAATACAACAGTGCTCTAAACTTTTTAATTGTACACAGACACATCTTGATTTGAGATTCTAACAAGTGTGCTGTTTTGTCACTTTTCTTGTTCTACAGCGATGGATTCAAACGGCTGGCGAAGGCCATCCCTGCATCGTGGATGCGTCAGAAGCAATTGAAGAACTTCTCTTCTCGAACTGACATGGCTTCATTGTTGCATATTGCGGTGGATTTCATAAAAGATCTACAGGTGAGCATCAAGGATGAGATGAACAATCCAGACATGGTCTTTGGATTTCAGTCATTGACAGTTAATTTTGTACGGTATGTGAATTTTTTATACGCAGGAGCAAAAAGTTCAGTTGTCACAAGCGTACATGCAGCACGTGGCAGCAAGGCTCCAATGAATGCCTCCAAGAGTTTCCTACATGTAACAGAAATCTCGACTCCACTGGGGATCGAATCCAGAATTACTGGTTCTGACCAGCGCCTCATCCATTGGGCTATGGATGGAGCATGGAGGCCGGATTTTAGATATGGTATCTACCATATTCTATATGTGGTAGTGTGCTAATTATGCTGATAAGTAATCCTAGGTATTACAAACGCGAATGCCATTGTTGAATGACCCGTTGCTTATGACTAGCTCTTTCATCCGCCTTGAAACCATAGAGATTTCTACTGTCTGTAAAGTGAAGTCAAAGTTACCGTATCTCTGCGTGATATGTAGGAACGCTCTTGTATCGCGTACTTCCTACGGGAAGGGGGTCCTGGGGAATTCACTTTTTATGGGACTAGCAGATTCGCTTCGCCTTGGGAGTCTCCATTGCTATGGTCTCAACTCGTCTCCTTTTAGCGTTCCTTACCGTCTGCCATGCGACGTCCTCGTCTGCTATTCGCGAGTAAAGCCATGCCTGAAGCCATGTGACGCTTCGATAGGGTAACTCTCGCGGCCTCTGTCGTACGCTGCTTCGTTTAGCTCGTTTTGAGGATTCTATCCGTCCACCATGCGGCGATTCTAGACAGTTGGATTTGAAAGCAGATTACATTAGGAGGCTTTCGTAATTCCGGAATGGAATTCATTGCTTTTAGGGAGTGCTCACCGGGCGACCGGCATACAGAGGCGTCGCCAGGTCGCCTCGCCGGGTTACCCGTCGCGAACCTCGCGAGCCGTGGCTGGGTATGCTCTGCGCGGCTACCTTTAAATTCATCGGGTCGTTTTTTGCGTCTATGGCCGGTGCATATCTTCTCGCTGCTCGCCATACTCGTTATAGGAGGTTCGTTTGTCATACAAGGAGCTGCTGTCTCCGAAGCTCTTACTGCGTTTTCGTCATCCTCCTCTTTCAATCGTCCCGCGGTTCTGCATCGAAATAACAGCTACACTGTATCTCTCGTTACTGAAGCACTCGATAGCAGTGCAAAGACGAGACGTAACGAGTATACTAGCAGTGACACGTGGAGGCCAGAGACTGGTCGTCAGATCGTTACCAGCTACATTTCGCCTGAACAAAGCATCGCCAGTATGGGAAGTAGCAGTAGTGTAATAATTAACGCTGGTGTAGAAACCGACGGTAGTGTAGCGAGAAGCAGGGCTACTATCGCGTACAAGGCGATCAGCTGCGAGGATGATCTTGGCGGGGTGGGCTCTCTGGACGCCACGTGTCAGATCAGCAGCCACGTGTTGGTCCCTGATGGGACGGAGGTTTCTGGAAACGGCACGCTGGAGATTCTTGCAGGTGCCAGCCTGGCATGCGGGATAGCTGGTGGGCAGAGCAACAGTAGCAGCAGCAGTAGCATCATTAGCAGTAGCAGCATCAGCAGCAGTAGCAGCAGCGTTAACAGCGGCAGTAGCAGCAGCGGTAGTAGCAGCAAGAAAAGGTTATTTTCTGTCGTACAGGGACCATCTCCTGCCGCCCAGCCTGACTGCTCTCTCTCCATTCACTTGGCGACAGCTGTCATGCTGCACGAGGCTGCCAGCCTGGCAGCCTGCACGCTATTGGTCGAAACCGGGCGGCTGACTGTGGCGTTTGGGGCGGCAGTAACGGCCAAGGGGCTGGCAGCAAAGGCGCCGGATCAGACAAGTGGCACGCCGACCGATGGGAAGGGGTCGGGCGGCGGGTACGGTGGGCGAGGAGCGTCGTGTAGCGTGAACAGTGACAACGTGGGCGGCAGGGGCGGCAGGAAAAATGCTAGGGGGAATATCAGGGGCGGAGGCGGATGGGGGGCGGAGGCGGAGTCATGGGGGGGAGATGCGTATGCCTGGTCTACCCTCACTGATCCGTGGAAAACGGGCAGCAAGGGGGGCGCGTTGGGGGAGGCGGATGGGGGGGGGCTGGGGGGAGGGCGAGTGCGCATTGTGGTGCGGGGGGATGTGGTGGTGGAGGGGCGGATAGACGCGGATGGGGGGGATGCGCAGGTGGGCAGCATGGGGAGGCTTGGGGGGGGAGGATCCGGTGGGAGTGTGTTCGTCAATGCCACTTCCATGTGAGTCCGCCGCCTCCCCCTTTCCCCACCTTGCTCCTCCCCAACCCTCCCCTCTCCACTTCCCCCTCCCCACTCCTCCCTCCCCACTCCATCCTCCCCACTCCACCCTCCCTCCCCCTTCCCAGCTCCGCCCTCTGCCGTTACCCTTCACCCCTCCGCCTCTCTCATACCCTACTTTTTATTTTTATCCAACACAACCACTCGGGACTTTCTCTTCCTTAACCTCCCCTCCTCTTCCTTGTCCCTCCCCCCGTCCCCCCCCCCTCACCCAACCAGCCAAGGCACTGGGCGCATCTGCGCCAATGGGGGGAAGGGGCACGGGGGAGGCGCGGGGGGGCGCGTAGCCATCCAGTACCAGCTTCCCCCATCCTCCCTCGCATCCCCCTCCCCCTCCTCCCCTTCCTCCTCCTCTTCTCCCTCTCCCTCCCCGTCTCCCTCCGCCTCCCCCTCCCCCTCTTCTCCCCTCTCCCCCACCCTATCCATCCAAGCCATTGGGGGACCTAGCGAGGCCTGCCCTTATAACGCAGGCTCAGCCGGGACAGTCTTCAACTGGGCCAAACAAACCCTCGTTATAGGCAACTCCAACCAGCCCTCGCACACCTTCACACCGCTCTTCACCGTGCCGCCCTACCCCTACTACTGGGACGGAATTATAGTGGAGGGGGGGGCTAAAGTCGTCGCTCTCACCCGGAACTTCCGCCTGCGAATCCGCTCCTGCGTGTGGTTCCGGGAAGGTTCCAGCGTGCTGTTTGGAAGCAGCACTGGGGGAGGGGGAGGGGGAGGGGGAGGAGGGGGAGATCAGCCGGAGCCATCTCCACCGTTGGATCCTGATGAGGCGGAGGTGGAGGTGGTGGTGACGAATCTGACGCTCACGAACGCAACCCTGGAGGTGTATGGGACGATCAAGGTGTCTGCCTCGCACTTCAACCTGCACTCCTCCGCCTCTCTGCGTATCCACCAGCTTGCAGCTGCTGCTGACGCTAGCAAAAGCAGCAGCCGTGACAGTGGTGGCAACGGGGATAGCACTTATGAGCAACAGCAGCAGCAACAGCAGCAACAGCAGTGGGGGCGGCAGGAAGGAAGGCAGCAATGTGAGGAGGCGGCACAAGAGCGGATTGGCCATGGAGTTCTCAAGCTTTAATGGCAATTCCCTCTCCCTCACTGTATGTTCTGCTTCCTAGTGCTCTTTCGGTAACCACTCAAGCAACTGAATAAGACTCAACAGTAGGATACAAGCATTATTTTCTGTCTGATTCTTCTTGTAACAACCAGTGCGGTACTGTTCCCATCAGGCGAGCATGCCATGCCTGTGTGTGGCTGTCCCCCTTTCCTGCCCCATCAGGGCGGTTCTTCCCTGGTCAGCTCGGGCCATGTGTGGCTGTGCGGGCAGAACAAGCTGAATCTTACTTTCTTCTCCTCACTCCTTTCTCAATCCCTGTGCCCTGTGCCCTTCTCTCTCCATCAGGGCGGTTCTTCCCTGGTCAGCTCAGGGCACGTGTGGCTGTGCGGGCAGAACGAGCAGCCTTACTCTTCTCCTCACTCCCCTCTGATGGTAGACTCTCATTGGTATGAAAGTCATAACCAGCCCTGCTGTGATCTGATCCCCCTTGTTTCGCCATCTCCCAGGGCGGTTCTTCCCTGGTCAGCTCAGGCCACGTGTGGCTGCACGGGCAGAACGACCTGGCTGTCTCTTCTCCTCTCTCCCCTCTGAACCCTGTGCCTTGTGCCATGCCCTGTGACCTTCTCTCTCCCGCAGGGCGGGTCCTCCCTGGTCGGCTCAGGGCACGTGTGGCTGCACGGGCAGAACGACCTGGCTGTCTCTTCTCCTTATTCCCCTCTGAACCCCTGTTACCCCACGCCCCTCTTTGCTCCCCCATGCTGCTTTTTCTCACTTTTCCTTCAGGGCGGATCCTCCCTGGTGAGTTCGGGCCACGTGTGGCTGCACGGGCAGAACGAGCTAGCTGTCTCTTCTCCTTATTCCCCTCTGAACCCCTGTGCCCTGTGCCCTGTGTCCTATGCCATGTGCGCTTCTCTCCCCCTCAGGGCGGATCCTCCCTCGTGAGTTCAGGCCACGTGTGCCTGCAGGGGCAGAACGAGGTTTCTCTGGGCGGCAGGAGTCTGCTAGCCGCCAAAAAGCTCCTCATCTCCATGGTCGTCGCCGTCCGCGTTCTGGCCGGCAGCCGGATCGCCGCCCCTCTCTCGCACGCCGCCCTGCTCCACCTCCAGTCCCTCTCTGCGGGCGGCAGCACCGAACCAAATTACTACTCGCTACAGACGGAGTCCCCGCTACAGCCCAAATCCTCGCTACAGCCGAGTGTGTCCCCGCTACAGCCCAAATCCTCGCTACAGCCGAGTGTGTCCCCGCTACAGCCCAAATCCTCGCTACAGCCGAGTGTGTCTCTGCTACAGCCGCAGCAAAGCAGCAGCAAAGTAGGAAGCGGGGGGGACTGGAGCAGTCACAGCCACTCTCTTTCCTCTGTTGACTCTGTTGACTCTGTGGCGGCGTCACAGTATGGGGGCTTTGCAGTGCAGTCAGGGGACCTGCCGTACTGTCACGTGGAGGAGTGTCCCTCCAGACTGGTGCAGCCGATTTACGACTGCAGCAGCGAAGACGAATCCCCCTTCTCCCTCCTCGTGAGTGACCCCCTCCTGTTCCTTCTCTTGTTGTGGCTGGTGTTCTTTTGCTGCTACTGCTGGTGGTGGTTCTGCTTCCGCTTGCGGTGGTGGTGAGTGGGACAAGCGGGGGGACCTGCCGTACTGTCACGTGGAGGAGTGTCCGTCCAGTCTGGTGCAGCCGATTCACGACTGCAGCAGCAAGGACGAGTCCCCCTTCTCCCTCCACGTGAGTCATCTTTTTCTCGAGCCAATGTTCATTTTTGTTGGCCTCCCCCTCATCCTCTCTCTTCACGAACCTATCTGTCCTCTTCTCCCTCATTCTCCGTATCTGTCCTCTTCTCCTTGATTTGTGCAGGTCTGTCGTCTCGACTGCCTGTACGTGCAAGGGGCGATGGAGGGGTATTGGTGCGCATAGGCGCTACACAACCCTTCCACAATCCAGTCGCCCTCCCTCCCTTGTCCCGCCTTCACACCTTCCCTGTGCAGGTCTGTCGTCTCGACAGACTGTACGTGCAAGGGGCGATGGAGGGGGCGTTGGTGCGCATAGACGCTACCTCCTCTCTGGTCATTGACCGCCGAGGTTCCATCTCTGCCTCGGGCCTTGGTGAGTGGCATGAAAGGTGCACAGTTAGGTTTGTTGGTACAAGGTGTACGTGCAAGGGGCGATGGAGGGGGTGTTGGTGCGCATCGATGCCTCCTCCTCTCTGGTCATTGACCGCCGAGGTTCCATCTCTGCCTCGGGCCTTGGTGAGTGGCATGAAAGGTGCACAGTTAGGTTTGTTGGTACATTGTGTGCGTGCAAGGGGCGATGGAGGGGGCGTTGGTGCGCATCGATGCCTCTTCCTCTCTGGTCATTGACCGCCGAGGTTCCATCTCTGCCTCGGGCCTTGGTGAGTGGCATGAAAGGTGCACAGTTAGGTTTGTTGGTACTTTGTGTGCGTGCAAGGGGCGATGGAGGGGGCGTTGGTGCGCATCGATGCCTCTTCCTCTCTGGTCATTGACCGCCGAGCCTCCATCTCTGCCTTGGGCCTTGGTGAGTGGCAAGTGCATGGCAAGTGCATGCACAGCAGGTCTATGTCAGGCATGGCTGGTGCGTGGCAAGCGCATGTTAGGTTGGGGTAAAAAATAAATCTTTTGTTTCCTTGACCTCCGATTGCCCTGCTCTTCGTTCAGGTTGCCCGTCGGGCCATGGTGTGGGGCATGGCAGGGAGTGTGACCAAGTGTGACCACGTGTGACCAAGTGTGACCAAGTGTGACCAAGTGTGACCAAGTGTGACCAAGTGTGACCAAGTGTGACCAAGTGTGACCAAGTGTGACCAAGTGTGACCAAGTGTGACCACGTGTGACCAAGTGTGACCAAGTGTGACCATGTGTGACCAAGTGTGACCATGCTTGACCAAGTGTGACCATGTGTGACCATGTGTGACCATGTGTGACCAAGTGTGACCATGTGTGACCAAGTGTGACCATGCGTGACCACGCGTGACCATGCGTGACCACCAAGTGTGACCATGTGTGACCATGTGTGACCATGTGTGACCATGTGGGACCATGTGGGACCAAGTGTGACCATGCGTGACCATGCGTGACCATGCGTGACCATGCGTGACCATGCGTGACCATGCGTGACCATGCGTGACCATGCGTGACCATGTGAGCCAGCACCGCCCTTCCCCCCGTGTCCCCCTCCGCCACTGCCCCCTTTTCCCACCAGGTTGCCCGCCGGGCCATGGTGTGGGGCATGGCAGGGACGCACCAGCAGGGGGGAGTGGTGGAGGGGGGCATGGGGGAAAGGGCGGTGCTGGCTATTTCAACGGGTCCCGGGCGGCAGGCGGGCCTGCATACGGACGAACGATGCCGCCCTGCAGTGTCGGGAGTGGGGGAGGGCTGGGCCCGGAGGGACGGGGGAACAGCGGAGGCGGGCTGATAGGTGAGTGGGTGATTGGTGGATGAGGTGATAGGTGAGTGATTGATAGGAGGTGAGGTGATGGGTGGGTGAGGTAATGGGTGGGTGAGGTGATGGGTGGGTGAGGTGATAGGTGGGTGAGGTGATAAGTGAATGAGGTGATAGGTGAGCGACCTGGTCCCGTTGGGCGACTTCGTTCAATTGAGCGACTTGGTCCAGTTGGGCGACTTGGTCCAGTTGAGCGAGCGACTTGGTCCAGTTGGACGACCTAGACCAGTCGGGCGGCCTAGTCCAGTAGGGCGACCCGGTCCTGTCGGGCGACCCGGTCAAGTCGGGCGACCCGGTCCGGTTGGGCGACCTGGTCCGGTTGGGCGACCTGGTCCGGTTGGGCGACCTGGTCCGGTTGGGCGACCTGGTCCGGTTGGGCGACCTGGTCCGGTTGGGCGACCTGGTCCGGTTGGGCGACCTGGTCCGGTTGGGCGACCTGGTCCGGTGGGCGACCTGGTCCGGTGGGGCGACCTGGTCCGGTTGGGCGACCTGCTCCGGTTGGGCGACCTGCTCCGGTTGGGCGACCTGCTCCGGTTGGGCGACCTGCTCCGGTTGGGCGACCTGCTCCGGTTGGGCGACCTGGTCCGGTTGGGCGACCTGGTCCGGTTGGGCGACCTGGTCCGGTTGGGCGACCTGGTCCGGTTGGGCGACCTGGTCCGGTTGGGCGACCTGGTCCGGTTGGGCGACCTGGTCCGGTTGGGCGACCTGGCCCGGTTGGGCGACCTGGCCCGGTTGGGCGACCTGGCCCGGTTGGGCGACCTGGCCCGGTTCGGCGACCTGCTCCGGTTGGGCGACCTGCTCCGGTTGGGCGACCTGGTCCGGTTGGGCGACCTGGTCCGGTTGGGCGACCTGGTCCGGTTGGGCGACCTGGTCCGGTTGGGCGACCTGGTCCGGTTGGGCGACCTGGTCCGGTTGGGCGACCTGGTCCGGTTGGGCGACCTGGCCCGGTTCGGCGACCTGCTCCGGTTGGGCGACCTGGTCCGGTGGGCGACCTGGTCCGGTTGGGCGACCTGGTCCGGTTGGGCGACCTGGTCCGGTTGGGCGACCTGCTCCGGTTGGGCGACCTGGTCCGGTTGGGCGACCTGATCCGGTTGGGCGACCTGGTCCGGTTGGGCGACCTGCTCCGGTTGGGCGACCTGCTCCGGTTGGGCGACCTGCTCCGGTTGGGCGACCTGCTCCAGTTGGGCGACCTGCTCCGGTTGGGCGACCTGCTCCGGTTGGGCGACCTGCTCCGGTTGGGCGACCTGCTCCGGTTGGGCGACCTGCTCCGGTTGGGCGACCTGCTCCGGTTGGGCGACCTGGTCCGGTTGGGCGACCTGGTCCGGTTGGGCGACCTGGTCCGGTTGGGCGACCTGGTCCGGTTGGGCGACCTGGTCCGGTTGGGCGACCTGGTCCGGTTGGGCGACCTGGTCCGGTTGGGCGACCTGCTCCGGTTGGGCGACCTGCTCCGGTTGGGCGACCTGCTCCGGTTGGGCGACCTGCTCCGGTTGGGCGACCTGCTCCGGTTGGGCGACCTGGTCCGGTTGGGCGACCTGCTCCGGTTGGGCGACCTGCTCCGGTTGGGCGACCTGCTCCGGTTGGGCGACCTGCTCCGGTTGGGCGACCTGCTCCGGTTGGGCGACCTGCTCCGGTTGGGTGACCTGCTCCGGTTGGGCGACCTGCTCCGGTTGGGCGACCTGCTCCGGTTGGGCGACCTGCTCCGGTTGGGCGACCTGGTCCGGTTGGGCGACCTGGTCCGGTTGGGCGACCTGGTCCGGTTGGGCGACCTGCTCCGGTTGGGCGACCTGCTCCGGTTGGGCGACCTGCTCCGGTTGGGCGACCTGCTCCGGTTGGGCGACCTGCTCCGGTTGGGCGACCTGCTCCGGTTCGGCGACCTGCTCCGGTTCGGCGACCTGCTCCGGTTGGGCGACCTGGTCCGGTTCGGCGATCTGCTCCGGTTGGGCGACCTGGTCCGGTTGGGCGACCTGGTCCGGTTGGGCGACCTGGTCCGGTTGGGCGACCTGGTCCGGTTGGGCGACCTGGTCCGGTTGGGCGACCTGGTCCGGTTGGGCGACCTGGTCCGGTTGGGCGACCTGGTCCGGTTGGGCGACCTGGTCCGGTTGGGCGACCTGGTCCGGTTGGGCGACGTGGTCCGGTTGGGCGACCTGGTCCGGTTGGGCGACCTGCTCCGGTTGGGCGACCTGCTCCGGTTGGGCGACCTGCTCCGGTTGGGCGACCTGCTCCGGTTGGGCGACCTGCTCCGGTTGGGCGACCTGGTCCGGTTGGGCGACCTGGTCCGGCTGGGCGACCTGGTCCGGTTGGGCGACCTGCTCCGGTTGGGCGACCTGCTCCGGTTGGGCGACCTGCTCCGGTTGGGCGACCTGGTCCGGTTGGGCGACCTGGTCCGGTTGGGCGACCTGGTCCGGTTGGGCGACCTGGTCCGGTTGGGCGACCTGGTCCGGTTGGGCGACCTGGTCCGGTTGGGCGACCTGGTCCGGTTGGGCGACCTGGTCCGGTTGGGCGACCTGGTCCGGTTGGGCGACCTGGTCCGGTTGGGCGACCTGCTCCGGTTGGGCGACCTGCTCCGGTTGGGCGACCTGCTCCGGTTGGGCGACCTGCTCCGGTTGGGCGACCTGCTCCGGTTGGGCGACCTGCTCCGGTTGGGCGACCTGCTCCGGTTGGGCGACCTGGTCCGGTTGGGCGACCTGGTCCGGTTGGGCGACCTGGTCCGGTTGGGCGACCTGGTCCGGTTGGGCGACCTGGTCCGGTTGGGCGACCTGGTCCGGTTGGGCGACCTGGTCCGGTTGGGCGACCTGGCCCGGTTGGGCGACCTGGCCCGGTTGGGCGACCTGGCCCGGTTGGGCGACCTGGCCCGGTTGGGCGACCTGGCCCGGTTGGGCGACCTGGCCCGGTTGGGCGACCTGGCCCGGTTGGGCGACCTGGCCCGGTTGGGCGACCTGGCCCGGTTGGGCGACCTGGCCCGGTTGGGCGACCTGGCCCGGTTGGGCGACCTGGCCCGGTTGGGCGACCTGGTCCGGTTGGGCGACCTCGTCCGACTGAGCGACCTCGTCCGACCGAGCGACCTCGTCCGACCGAGCGACCTCGTCCGACCGAGCGACCTCGTCCGACCGAGCGACTTGGTCCGACCGAGCGACTGGGTCCGACCGAGCGACTTGGTCCAAGTCGTGCAGTGCTGGGTCCGGTGGCTCGTCTGGAGCTGTGGGGCTACTCTTTTGCAGCAGACGGCTTGTTTCTCAACACACGCACGGTGGGAGGCGGAGGGGGTTTTAGAGCCTGAGCGTCCCTTTTGACCCTCGTTCCCCTCTATCCTCCCTTCTCCTTCCCCCCTCTCCCCCCCAGTGCTGGGCCCTGTGGCCAATTTGACGCTGTGGGGCGGCTCTCTGGCGGCAGATGGCTCTTTACTCAACACACGCACCGTGGGAGGCGGAACGGGGAGATTCGGGAGTGGAGTAGGGGGAGGGGAGGTAGGAGAAGGAGGAGTGGGGGACGGAGAAAGGGGAGTGGGGGGCGGAGAAGGCAGAGTTGGGGTTAGAGAAAGGGAAGTGGGAAGCGGAGGACTGGGAGGGGGGGCAGGGGGAACAGTAGTGATCCATGCAACTTTACTCAACATGACTCGAGGGGCTGTGATATCAGCGTCAGGGGGACAGGGGCATTCGGTGGGAGGCGGCGGAGGGGGCGGGGGAAAAGTGTACTTTGCATGGCAGAACCTGGAACAGACGCAAGGAGATAAGTACACACCACGTGCTACTATCGAGGGGAACTGGAGCGATGCTATCAGAACAAGGTAAGGGCAGCAACGAGGGGGAGGACGGAGAGGTAGGAGTGACGGGATCAGCGGATTCAGTTTTGAGATTTCTCAAAGTGACTCCACCGGGGCTGATGTGGTTGTTGTGTGAGGAGTGCTGCCCCCACTGCCACGTGTACACGCTTTTCAAGACGATCAGTGCATCCCCTTCTCTCTCTTCTCGTGTTATTGCCACCAGTGGAAGGCAGGGCAGCTACGAAGGGGAGGACGGCGAGGTGGGATTGACTGGGTCGGCGGATTGCTCACCAGGGCTGGTGGGGCTGCTAGCGCTTCCCTATAATGACTCGACTTTTTCCTTTTCCCCTTTGCTGAACCACACAACCAGTGGGGGGCAGGGCAGCTACGAAGGTGAGGACGGCGAGGTGGGACTGACAGGGTTGGCGGATTGCCCCCCGAACATGGTGGGGCAGCTGTGAGAGGGGTCCTGTTTTCACAGTGTCTATCCCTTCTCTTCCTCCCCTGTGGTTGAAACCAGTGGAGGGCAGGGCAGCTACGAAGGGGAGGACGGCGAGGTGGGATGGACAGGGTCGGCGGATTGCCCTCCAGGCCTGGTGGGGCTGCTGTGTGAGGAGTGCCGTGTCGGCACCTTCAAGAACCAGTCCGGCTCTGATCCTTCCCTCTGCCTGGACTGCCCGCTCGACCTCCTGCCACACCATGCCGAGTTCGCCTATCAGAAAGGTATGTGGGGCTGGTAAGGCTGGTGGGGCTGCTGTGTGAGGAGTGTCCTGTGGGCACCTTCAAAAACCAGTCCGGCTCCGACCCTTCCCTCTGCCTGGACTGCCCAATCGAGCTCTTGCCACACCATGCCGAGTTCGCCTACAAGCGAGGTGTGTACAATGCGGTTGGATGCGGTGCTGTGGTGTGGTTGCTGGTCCCACCAGGGACGGCTGGTGGGGCTGCTGTGTGAGGAGTGCCGTGTGGGAACCTTCAAGAACCAGTCCGGATCTGATCCTTCCCTCTGCCTGCGCTGCCCGCTCGAGTTGTTGCCACACCACGCCGAGTTCGCCTACAAGCGAGGTTCGTTCGGTGCAAGGGGGGAGATAGAGAGGTATTCCCAATCAAGTCAGGTGCCCGCCCATGCTGATCTCGCGGGTCCGATGTGTTGTGGCTAGGACGCCGACGTTTGATTGGATTCGTTTCCTTTCCATCCTGTTCTCTCACCTGCTCGCTTTCCTCTCACCCGTCCCCCCCTTCCAGGTGGCTCCAGCAGTGCGCCCTGCCCCTACCGCTGTCTCTCCTCGCACTTCTCCCTGCCCCACTGCGACACGCCAATGGAGGGTCTCACTCGCGACCTGGTCTCGTCCCACCCCCATGGAGGCACTTTCTTTATTCTCTCGTCTCCTCCCTTCCGCCCTGCCCTTCCTCTGACCCCGTCCCTCCCTTCTACAGGTGGCGCCAGCAGTGCGCCCTGCCCCTACCGCTGTCTCTCCTCGCACTTCTCCCTGCCCCACTGCGACACACCAATGGAGGGCCTAATCCTTGACCTGGGCTCTCCCCTTTCAACCCCTCCAAATCTATCCATTTCCCTCTGTTTCAGGTGGTGCCAGCAGTGCTCCCTACCTCTACCGCTGTCTCTCCTCGCACTTCTCCCTGCCCCACTGTGACACACCAATGGAAGGTCTAATCCGCGACCTGGGCGGGCCCTGGGTGGTCACGCTAGCGTGCACGCTCTCCTCTTTCATCCCTGTTCGTTCTCCCTCGCTCCCCTCACTCCAGGTGGTGCCACCAGTGCGCCCTGCCCCTACCGCTGTCTCTCCTCGCACTTCTCCCTGCCCCACTGCGACACATTCTTTGAAGGTCTCATCCGAGATCTGGGCGGGCCCTGGGTGTTCGCGCTCGCCTGCACGCTCTCCGTGCTGCTGCTGGGCTTTGCGATTACTCTCGCGCGCGCCAAGCTGCTGCTGGCAGGGGACGATTTGGCCCAGCCGCAGACGCGAGATTCAGATGTTTCCTCGCACATGGACCACTCCCTGCCGTTTTTGGAGTCACTTAACGAGGTGCGTGGGTGTTCGCGCTGGCATGCACGCTCTCTGTACTGCTAGGGTTTGCCATCACTCTCACGCGCGCCAGGCTGCTGCTGGCAGGGGACGGTTTGGCGCAGCTGCAGACGAGGGACTCCGATGTGTCTTCCCATATGGACCACTCTCTGCCGTATTTGGAGTCCCTAAATGAGGTACGTGCCTCAGTGGCTGTATGGATCCTCATGTGTTGTTTGCACATGGCCATTGAGGCACTGAGGCACACGTATGGATCTGCATGTGCTATTTGCACGCGTATGGATCGCCCAGTGCCGTTTCTAGACACTCTTAACTGGGTATGTAAGTAGGTCTAGAGACTCTAACTGCAAGAGTCTTAAACACCCTCATTCCTTTTTCCCTCTTCCCCTCTCCCTTCCCCAACCCCTTCCCCCCACACACTTCCTCAGGTGATGGAGAACACATGCTTGGAACAAGCAGCTTCCCATGTCCATTGGGTCTTGTTCTACGAAGCACAACCATCACTGCAAAGGGCTTGCTCACCCTCTTTCCTTCTCTCACCCCGTCCCACACTCTCTCTCCTTCTTCCACAGGTCATGGAGAACACGAGGGTAGAGGAGGCAGCGTCGCACGTCCACCGGGTGTTCTTCTGTGGAGACAACTCCTTCTCGCACCCTCCTTACCTCTCTCTCCATCCGTCCCACACACATTCTTGCCCGTCAGGTGATGGAGAACACAAGGGTGGAAGAGGCAGCCTCACACGTGCACCGGGTCTTCTTCTGTGGAGACAACTCCTTCTCGCACCCGCTGCACCTCCCGCACTCCCCGCCGCGCGCAATCTCCGATCTCGTATACGAGGACTCATACAACCGACTAGTAGACGAGGTTAACGCCATTGCGTGCTACCGGTGGTGGGAGGGGTGTGTGCACTCGCTGCTGGCGCTACTCGCGCTGCCGTTCGCGTGGTCATGGCAGCAGTGGCGGCGCCGCCTCGTGGTGCAGCGGCTGCGGGAGTTTGTTCACACGCGCTACGACCACTCCTGCCTGCGCTCCTGCCGCTCCCGCGCGCTGTATGAAGGCCTCAAAGTGAGTCAACTGACTTGTGATTTTGAGTCGCACTGCTTCCACGAATCGACACCAACGCAGAAACTGGTGCCGCATTCATTGCGACCTACCCCAGGTCTCAGCTACCACGGCTTTTGAGACGTCTCAAAAGTCTCAGCCACCACGGCCGGACCTGATTACGAGCTACATGTGGGCCTTCTCTCAACCCCCTCCTCCTACCTAACTCGTTCCCTCCTGCCCTGTTCCTGTGACCCCCCGGTACTTCTGTTACCTCGGCATGCTACCTCCCCCAGATGTCAGCTACCCCGGATCTGGTCCTGGGCTACATGGACGTGTTTCTGGGCGGCGACGAGATGGCCACGCATGTCCTGCCGAGCTTTGCCCACCGCCTGCCGCTGCTGCTGGTGCTGGGCGGCAACGGGTCGTACATGGCGCCGTACCATCTCTTTACGGACGACCTCCTTACCAACATCATCTCCCAGGTATGCTTTCAGGTGTGTTCTCATGTGTCTTTTCAGGTGTGTTCTCAGGTGTCTTTTCAGGTGTGTTCTCAGGTGTCTTTTCAGGTGTGTTCTTGGCGGGCTGTACGTGGCGCCATACCATCTCTTCACGGACGATCTTCTCACCAATTTCCCAGGTGTGTTTTCAAGTCACTCAGGTCAGGTGTTTTCTCAGGTCAAGTGCATTCTTAGGTGCATCTCTTGTCCCCTTCCCAATCTCATCCTATCCCATCCCATCTCGTCCATGTCATGCCATTCCCTCCCATCCCATCCCATCCCATCCCATCCCATCCCATCCCATCCCATCCCATCCCATCCCATCCCATCCCATCCCATCCCATCGCATCCCATCCCATCCCATCCCATCCCATCGCATGCCATCCCCCCTACAGTGTGGTACCGCCTGGTAGCAGGGCTGAACGCCCATCTGCGCACCGTCACCCACGGCAACCTTCAGAGGTCGCTCAAACCCCTCCTGCGCTGGCTCTGCACCCACCTACCCTCCTTACTGTCATTTCCTTCCCCCCGTATGTCTGTTACCTGCCATGCCATGCCTTTCCTAGGCCATACCCCCTACAGTGTGGTACCGCCTAGTGGCGGGGTTGAACGCCCATCTGCGCACCGTCACCCATGGCAACCTTCAAAGGTCGCTGAAACCCCTGTTGCGCTGGCTCTGCACCCACGTCAACCCCTCGCTGGAAGCACATGGCGTGTCCGCACACCTGGCCTGGCTGCAGGTGCGCTCATCATCCATGTTGTATCTTGTCTCCATATTAAACTACAGCCGACTTTAACCGTAGTCTTTCGCACCCCTGCTGCGCTGGCTATGCACGCACGTCAACCCCTCGCTGGAAGCCCACGGCGTGTCCGCACACCTGGCCTGGCTACAGGTGTGTTGTGCGTTGTTTCTATCGTCCCTGTCTTCTTACATAGACTTAAGTCATTGAAGGCCCTGCTGCGCTGGCCATGCACGCATGTCAACCCCTCGCTGGAAGCCCACGGCGTGTCCGCACACCTGGCCTGGCTGCAGGTGTGTTGTTTCTATCGCCCCTGTCTTCTTACATAGATTTAAGTCATTGAAACCCCTGCTGCGCGGTCTGTGCACGCACGTGAACCCCTCGCTGGAAGCCCATGGCGTGTCCGCACACCTTGTCTGGCTGCAGGTGTGTTGTTTCTATCATCCTTGTCTTGTATTTCTACCTAGACCACTGCCGCTCAAGCCCTTCGCCTCACAAGTTGAGTTTTGAAGCGCCTCATAAGTTGTTTCTATCATCCTTGTCTTGTATTTCTACCTAGACCACTGCCGCTCAAGTCCTTCGCCTCACAAATTGAGTTTTGAAGCGCCTCATAAGTTGTTTCTATCGTCCTTGTCTTGTATTTCTACCTAGACCACTGCCGCTCAAGTCCTTCGCCTCACAAATTGAGTTTTGAGGCGCCTCATAAGTTGTTTCTATCGTCCTTGTCTTGTATTTCTACCTAGACCACTGCCGATCAAGCCCCTGCTGCGTTAGCTCTGCACACACGTCAATACTATGCAGAGTCTGTCATTCCTTCGCCCTTTCCCAATCCCTCATCCTCCCTTTTCTCTCCCACCTCCCCCCTCCCTCCACTTACCCATCGCCCACAGCCAACGTCAGCCAGTATTATCCAGCTCGCTCTGTGTCTCGACCACTCCGAGAGCACCGATCACTGCAATGACTACCTCCCCTCTTCCCTCTCCATTGCCCCTCCCTCCCTCTTCCCCGCTTCCTGCACCCACCCATCCCCCACAGCCCACGTCAGCCAGCATAATCCAGCTCGCTCTGTGTCTCTCCCTCTCCACATTTTCCTCCACTTCATTATTCTTCCCCCGCCTCTCTCTCCCCCTCACTTGCCCTTTCCTGCACCCACCCATCCCCCACAGCCCACGTCAGCCAGCATAATCCAGCTCGCTCTGTGTCTCGACCACCCCGAGAGCACTGACCACTGCAACGACTTCCTCCCTTCTGCTGCTGCTGCTGCTGCTTCTGCCGATCCAGCTGGCCATTTGTCTGCTCCAAGCTTCACCTCCTTCGCTTCGGCAGCCGCGCCGAACCTGGCCGGCTTCGGCAGCAGCTTCGGGAGCAGTCGGCTGGGTGGGTTCGGTGGTTCAGACACAGGATGGGGCAGGGCGGAGGAGAGACTGGGACCCGAAGGCTCTGCTTCTGCTTTAACTTCTCCTCGCACCGCCACTCTTCCCCCCGCTGCACTTCCCTCCTCTGCCTTTGCTCCTGTCTCTTTGCTTTCCTCTCACGCTCGGGCGTTGTCGGATGTCCCTTCCTTTCCCCGCTCCGTCTCTTCTCTCTCACACCAACACACCCCACACCAACACAACTCGCAGCGGCAGCAGCAGCAGCAGCACCACGAGCACCAGAAGCAGCAGCAACAGCAGCAACAACAGCAGCAGCATCGGCATCGGTGGCAGCAAAGCATCTCCCCATCCTCTCTTCTCTCAAACCCCTACCTCAATCCCTACTCCACTACCTCTCTCTACACCCCATACTCGTTAACAGCCACCCCCACCTCCTCCACCACACACCCCTACTCCACCACCTCCTCCTCTCCCCTCCCAATGACCCTCCCCTCTCATCTAAACGCTCTCCTTCTCCTACGAGATGCCTCCACCCAACCAGCTGTCGCCACATCAGCAGGCTTATCCACTCGTTACCTGCCAGCTGGCGGCTTCAGCGGCTATGGTGGCGGTGGTTATTCGGGCAGGGCTGGTAGCGCTAGTGTCACCCCTGGTGGACGTTCCCCCCCTACAGTCACAAGAGATAGAGTCACAGAGAACAGATTTATGGGAGAGAGGGTGAGAGGAGGCGGTTTGGGTGGGTATGGGGGTGTGAACACTCCTCCCTATCAGTCCCCTCATCCTCCTCCTCCTCCTCTTCCTTCACCTCACCTTTCTGACACCCCGTTGCGCCCACGCCCCTTGTCAGCACTGGGTGGGGAGAGCGCTGGTAGGCTTTACTCCCAAAGCTCCTTGCAAGATCAGCAGCAGCAGCAACAACAGCAGCAAAGGCAGCCAGAAGCTTTAAGTGTTAGGTTGCCGGCTCGGGCACTATCAGTGAAACTTCCCTCTCAGCAGCAGCAACAGCAGTCAGGAGGAGGGGAGCAAAGCCCCTCACTTGCTTCCCTCCCCCCTCTCTCGCCACATAGGTTCGAACACCGACCCTTCCTCTCACACCTCCCCTCTGCCGAACCTACACCCGGACCTGCTGGCCCGGCTCACTTTGCTCCCAGGTTCGACACAGGCTCGGGAAGTGGTCTGGCACGAAGCATCCATGGCTCAATTCCCGAGAATCTCTCTTTGCTAGGTGACAAGGATGCGAGACGGGGCGGCGAGAGGAGGGAAGTGGAGCGGCAAATCTCGTCTGTTTCTGCGGGGTTGCTGTGGCAGGCGGCGGGGGGACGGGTGGGGAAGAGGCAGCAAGGGGGGTTGATAGACGCGCAGGTGCTGCAACGGCTGGATGGGGGGAGGGGGCTGTGCTTGCCTTTCTGCGGGCTGCTGCTGCGAAACACTCTGCCTGTTGGTCACGATGTGAGTTTAATTCCGTTATTTGCTCTTCTGTTATGTTTGGTTCTGTTTTTTTAGGGGCTGTGCTTGCCTGGCTGTGGGCTGTTGCTGCGGAATGCTCTACCCGTTGGCCACGATGTGAGTCGTTCAGCTTTGAGATGTCTCATTGTCCAGTTTTCGTCTCATAGTCCGCTTTTCATCTCATAGTCCAGTTTTCTTCTCCAGGCCCGCCCTTCTCCCTATTCGCTCTGTCATCTCTCCCTCCCTTTCCCCATTCCCTTTCCCCCGTTTCCTCCGTATCTCTTTTTCCTCGGCCTGCTCCAATCCTACAGCACCTCCCTCCTCGCCTTTGCTCTCATGCTCTGCTTCCCCCCCCCGCTTCTCTCTTTGCCCTCGCCACCCCTCCCTCTCCCCCCCAAGCAGGCAGCAGTGGGTTTGGCAATGTCAATGCTCCTCCTGGCCGACCTCTGCCTCTTCCTCCTCTGCCTCCTCCAATCCTACAGCACCTCCCTCCTCGCCTTTGCTCTCATGCTCTTCATCCTGCCGCTCGCGCCGCTCTTCTCAGCAGCAGCAGGGCTGAACGCGCTCTTTGCCCATGGGGCAAGGGGGGGAGCTGGGTTGGGGAGGGTGTATGGGCTGTGGAACGTCACTTCTCTTGCCAACGGGGTGAGTGGCCTGGGCTAGTGTTCGGGTTGTAGGGCGTAGCGTAGGGTTTCAAGTCCCCGTGCTCTTTGTCTGCCGCTCGCAGCACCCTCTCACGGGGCGGAGCGGGGCTGGGGAGGGTGTATGGGCTTTGGAACGTCACTTCTCTTGCCAACGGGGTGAGTGGGCCTGGGCTAGGGTTGGGGTCTGGGCCTCGAGCTTTCGTGCTATTCGACTTGCCAGTGAGTTAGGGAAGGGACTGGGTTTGGGTTTAGGATGCTAGGGTTATTCCGCAGAGGGATGGCATGGCTAGCAGCAAGTGGTAGAAACCGTTTCTTCTTTTCTTTTCTTCTCTTTTTCCAGCCTACCTCCCCTCCCCCCTACCTCCGCACTTCCCGCCTCTCTCCCTCTGTCTCCCTTTCTACTCCATAATTGTTGCTTTTTTTACTCCTGACGCTCCATCCACTCATACTCATCTTTTCCACTTCCTTTCAGGTTGTTGCTGTGACTCTGGGCGTATATCATGTATGGCAAACTTACACGGGCACTCCGTCAGGTGTTCCTCCCAGGTGAGAACAACAGAGCCAGGTGAATCGTCTCGGTTTGAGCAAAAGAAACTTCAAACAATTTGAGGTCTTGCCACGCAATTTCGCCGTGCATTAGTTCCTTTTTTCCGCGTATCATGCGGCACCCCCTTCATTGACTTCCCCAATTCAGGAAGTTTGCAACATAAGAGAAATTCATGTGACTGCTATATCCATAAGATCTCTTAAGTGCTCGTTCCTTCCCGTCCTGCTCCCTGCCCCCTTACCCGCCTCTTTTCCCACCCACTTGTATTTTCCCTCCCCCCTTCAGGGAGTCTGCAGCAACAGAGGAGTTCACGTGGTTGCTGTTCCCAGCCATGTTTGTGGCCTGCAAGCTGGCTCAGGCACGAGTCATAGACCGCCACGTGGCAAATCTGGAGATTCAGGATCGCACTCTACTGGCAGAGGACCCTACTGTCTTTTGGGAGGCGTAGGTAGGAGAATCAAGGAGAATTTTGTGTACAGTACGTGCTGGCCGTGTTGACTCATTCCAGTGTACAAGGTGTTGGCTTGCAGTGTTATTGTTACATTACATCCCTCTCCACACGTTCCTTTCCCCTCTTTCTTGTGACGGTGTTTTGTCATGGACTGATGATGATGCTGCATATGAATGGCACGTGCATCTGTTTAGAAAGTGGCGTGTATGTCCTGGCTTGGCGGCACCTTGGCAAGCATGCACGTAGAAAAGTGCTTCGTAGATGCAGCCTCTTAGAACGCCGCATAACTTGGGCTAACATGTTTTCATGCGGGATCATTGGAACCACAACGTGGGGTTTCTCTGTTGAGTGTTGAAGTAGCCAAGGAATGAGTCCGGATATATCTATACCTGGAAATTGGAATATACGGTCGAAGTAGTTTAAGCACTTGACAAGCTAATACACAAGGTACACCGATGGCGAGCTAGTCGTGTATGCGAACCCCGTTTCCATCCCATCCTATACCGGTTCGTCTCAAGACCATCCATGTGTCGCCTCACTCGTCGTTGGTTTTGGCCCACGCAATCACATGATATTTTTCCCCTTCCCCCTCTCAACCTCTTCCCCTTCGTTCTCCCCCTTCCCTTTCCTTCCCCCCCGAGCCTCACCGACACCCAATTAGAATTCCCCACGACAAACCCTAGACTCTAGAATGCAGTGAGGTTGCTGCTTTACGAAGCTCCGATTCTTGGTCACATTGATTGAGCTTCGATTCTGTACATGTTAGCTCGGATTCGCTCACACGCATTGCAGCAGTGAGCGTCAGGCCCGGCCAAACTCACTGGTGAACTGGAGCGGTTCGTGCCACATGCTCGGACTCGGAAGTTCAACAGCAACCCGAAATCGGTCTCTGCTACCCACTTTTACTCAACAGTAAGCAGCAATGCTGCATTAGCTTGCCATAGGGATGGCCGATATCCGCGACAAGGCACGGCAGGGACGTGGCATCCGTCGTCCTTACGTGTTGGGGATCCGCACGTGCAGTGCCTGGAGTCACGTTGGCATAGTGCTTGATTCGCCAGCTGTACTTTTTGTCCTGCGGGTCTTCGCCTCTGGTTGGCTCGTTCTCTAGAACATTCGGGCGGCTCGGCATGGCACATCCTTACGTGGCCTCCATCGATACCGTGAGGGCGTGGCCGGACGAGCACCGTTACTACTTGGCTGCGTGGAAGGGCCTCCGTGTGATGCGGACTTTGTCAAGCTTTTCGAGGCGCCTTGAAACGAGGACACCATCGCTGCTGCAAAATATCAGATTGTACGATCATGATTTCTCCTCGCAGGCGCCGCACACACCAAACCTACATGACGCTTTCACATCCCCTTCATCCCGCTCTGCCAACCAACTTCAGTCCGGTTTTACGAATGTGTCCAATTTTTAGAATATCCCCCTCCATCCGAGGCATCTCTTATCTCGATCTATTACATTAGCAGCACGAAGTGCTGTTTCGTATGCTTTTTCGTTTTTTTGCTGCGCCGCTGCACCACAACGATTCGGGGGACACTGAATCGGATACGCAGGGCCGCTGCTATCAACCTTAGTGGCATTAAGAAGCTGCTCCAGGTTGGCAATGAAACATTTGTTTCTCTTTGAGTTCGTTAACCAGCTGTCTCAATCCTTCCGGGATCTCAAGTCTACCTGAGTTTGAGTTTGAATCGCAGTGACTTCTGGGTCGACTCGACAGTCACTTCCTCAAGTTCAAGCTAGCTGTCCCGACCCTTTCAAAACCTCAATTCCCTGATCCAAATCGGACTATAATCTCCCACGGGGACTTCTCAACTGGCTCTTTCTAAGCTCTTTCTAGAAAGTCTACGGACGGCCCTCTTACTGCCAAAGTCTCTCTTCTACAATTCTCTAGTCCACTTCATTGCGCTTTGCCACTGCATTCCATTATCACGCAATGGCGGACCTACCAAGGCCCCTGACACCCACGTGGGAAGACAACCTGGACAGCTACCTTCGGTCTGTTTCAGCGCCCGAGCACAGCCAGCACGAGCAGCAGCACCAGCTGCAACACCAATCCGCGCAACAGCAGGAGCAGCATTCTCTCCAGGGACATTCCCATGAGCCACATCGGCATGAGCAGCACGGGGCACCTCTGCGTGAGCAGCAGCATATCGACGAAGATCCAAGCGACCAGCAGCAGGCCCAGAAGCCCCAGCCGCAGCCACAGCCGCAGCCGCAGGCACAGCCACCGCCGCTGTCGCTGCTTAACTCTACCTCTCCCCCCCGCGGCACCATCGTCGAGAAGGCAACTCCGGCATGTGAGGCGCCTGAGAAATCACCGCCATTGCTGACAAATCCTACCTCTTCCCTCGGCAGCACCATTGTAGAGGCGGGGGGTCTGATGGAGTGTATGTCTTGGCCCCAATCGTTTCATGCAGCTGCGATGCCAACATTTTCTAAGGATTTTGACTTCTCTACTGCTGCCATCTTGGGTTGCACGTCTGACGCGCTTGCATCCTGGTCTGATTCGTTCCCAGCTGACGAAACAGTTCAGCCCAAGCATTTAGATTCAGCAGATATCGCATCCTGGTCTGAAGCCTTCCCTGCTGCAGCAGCACATTGCAAGACTTCGGAATTGGCTGATTCCGTTATGAGGGATCCATCTGATTCCGACCCTGCTGCTGCTGCAGCTGCAGTGCAGCCCAAGTGTTTACCGATATCTGTTGCTGCCATTTCAAGTTCTACATCTGGCGCGCTTGCGACTTGGTCTGATTCCCTCTTTTCTCCGGCAATGGGGGCCAAAGCATGCATGGGTACCCAACCTGCTGCTACCGCCGGCTCTTCAGACCCAGTGCAAGCATGGGTTTCTGATATCTGCTTCGAATCGACACCAGACACACCAACACATCCCAAGGTTTTCAAACCGGCTACTGGGAAGGAGCCAAGACCGCTTTCAAGGTTGCCAGCAGCGGGAGCTTTTGGGAAGCTGATGCAGCCACCCGTGTCCTTGGTACAAAGGAACGCTTTCAACCGCTTGGAACCCAATGCTTCTACCGAGCTGTTATGTGAAGAGAAGCAAGGTTCCGCCAAGGCTATGAACCCCCCTGTGTCTGTGACGCAAGGGAACATGCCCAAGCACTTGGAGCCTGCCTCTACCGGACCATCAGTGTCAGCACCCAAGGAGGGTATGAATGTTGAGACAACTCAAGACAAGGCTCAGTGTAATGCCTCTCAGGGAGGGATGAGAATCGTGGAGCAGTCGTCAAGTGACGGAATATCACATGACAAGGCATCATGTGACAAGTCATCATGTGACAGGTCATCATACACGCCCACAGGAGACTGGCTGGTTGACAGCTTCATGCGGGCAAGGGCCTTCGCCTTCTCCCAGCCACATTTGAAACCCAAGAGCCGTGCTGCTGCTGCTTTAGCTACTACTACTCATGCTACTGCTGCAGTCCGTTCTGGTCCCACTGCTGCTCCAGCAGCAGCAGCAGCAGAAGCAGCAGCAGCCAGAGGTGCTGCTGCCAGTAGTGAATCTGGCTCCTGCCTTTCGTCCTGGGCTTGTGCGACCATGCTGCCACTCAGTCCTTCACACGGCAACAGAGGCTTAACAATCGCAGCTGCAGGAATATCTGGCCCTGATTTGAAACGTTACAAGACTCCTGGTGTCGCAGTCACAGCCGCAAGCGACCCTGTTTTGACACGTCGAAACACTATTGGTGTTGCAGCAACAGCAGCGAGTGGCTCAGGTTTGGGACAATTCAAGGATCGTAACGTCGCAGTTGCAGCCAGAAGCGACCCTGTTTTGACTCGCCGGAAAACTGTCCCAGCCGCATGCGCGCGTGACCCTGTTACGGGACGGTTCAAGCCTACGGGTGTTGCAGTAACAGCAACCTCAAGCGACCCTGTTTCCAGAAGCCGGAACAGCAACGGGTACGAGATTACCAGCTGTTTCAAGAGACCGCGGCTGAGTGCTGCAGGTGCAGCAGGGCGCAGCAGCATGACCAGCACGTTCGGCATGAGCGGCAGCAGGTTCGGCACGCCCAGTAGGTCCGGCACGCCCAATAGGTCCGGCGCGGCCAGTACATCCACGTCCAGCACCAGCACGTTCGGCGTGACTGGCATGTGTGGCACGTCCGGTACAAGCCTGACTTGAAAGATGCAACTGTGCTGTGGTTTTGTGTGCTCTGAAATCTCTGAGGCAACTCAACGTGCCATATAGGCATGTCCTTCCACGTCATAGTCTATTATGTGCTTTGATGACTTGGAGTACGGTATATGTGATGTCCTCAGGTGCCCGCATATAAAAGGGTACCAGATAATGATGTACTGCATAAGTACTTATGATGACGCCTGCATGGTCGACTACTGTGAACGCTGTTACGTACCTGTGAGGTGAAACTGCAGCAAAGAAACTGTCTGAACGGCAAAACAAATCAGCCAGCGTATAAGACGCCAGAACAAAGAAGCCAAACCTGAGTCTGTCACGCCATTCAGCAGCCAATGTTCTTCCTGGCCTCTCTCTACCCCAGTCACTGGACTCTTGGGACGTCTCATACGAAGCCAAACCCAACCCAACTTTGTCACGCCATCCAGTAGCCAGTTTTCTTCCTGGTCTCTCTCTACCCCAGTCACTGGCCTCACCTCCCTGGCCTTGCGACACATCGAAAGTCGAATTTTTGCCGATGAGAAAGCTTGCCTGATCACAACCTTAGAGTCAACTCAAAGAGTTTGTTCAGCAGCTGAGAATCTCCCAGGTGTCTGCCCCTTTCAATGGGTTCAACCCCTCGGGCGCAGTTGTTATGAGTCGATTGGAGCATCACTCTTCAGCAGCCAAGGCTCTCCCTGGTTTCTACCCCCGTCACTGGGTTCACTCCCTTGGCCTTGCGGCACATTTGATTAGAGTCGATTCATAAACCACTGTTCAGCAGCCAAGGCTCTCCCTGGTTTCTACCCCAGTCACTGGGTTCACTCCCTTGGCCTCGCGACACATCAGCCGTCTTTGAGCATTGTCTACTATGGCATCTGTGAAGTCTGCTCCAGTCACATCAGCGCCTGCAGGAGATGAGCATGCAAGCAGCGGGAGGTGGTCGGGGGGAACAAGGGAAGGGAGGTGACACATCAGCCCATTTCTAAGCATTGCCCAACATGCTTTTGTATAGTCTGCTCCAGTCACAACCGGATACAGGAAATATCAAAAGAATTACATGCCTGACAAACTTCAGTTGTCATTCTCTGAGGTGCCTCAATAAGTAGAAGTGGCTGTGAGTTACCTGGACCAGATGTAGTAAAAGAAGTATGAGGACGATGTAGTGAAAGTAAAACAAACGGCGAAAGGCAAAGATGGTATGACGGGCAGAAGGCAGACCTACGTGAACGGCAAAGACTAGGGAAAAGAGAACGGGAGAAGCAAAGCAGGAACTCACCTTCAAATTGCGATCCAGAGAGGATGGCGTTGGTGAAGTTTGCTGCACAAAGGGTAATGGGAAGACGAAGAGGAGGAAGAATGTAATGTGTTGGACAAAGAAGCAGCAGTGGTAGTGGATGGAGCAAGATAGCATTGCAAAAGCACAGGGGTGGGGGGAAGGGGAAGCCTCCCTCAGCTGTTGAGGCGACTAAGACTTTGGGGCGGTGAAGAGGAAGATTTGTTTTGCATAGTGAGAGTGGCGAGCAAGCAAAGAAAACAAAAATGTGCAGGAATGGAGTACCGTTGCGAAGGTTGGCCCCTTTGAAAACAACGCGGTCAGCAAGAGCACGCTCCCTGCCAAGGTGGAGAGGGAAGACAGAGCAGGGAGGTGGGAGGGTAGATCGGGAGAGGATATGGGGCAGGAAGGTGGGAAGGGAAGGTGGAAGGGAAGTGAGCCAGAGAGAAAAAGAAAGGGTCCTGAAAGAGCAGCAGCTGGATCCGGAAGGAAGAGAATTCAGGCACTCACCAGTTGGTGTTCTCGAGGTTGGCAAGCTCAAATCCCGCAAAGGTGTCGATGCTTCTACCTCACACTCGTCAGTGCTTGCTCAAGGAGCACGCAGAAAGAGCAAACATCCTCCTGCCACTCGCTCACCAGTTGGTGTTCTCGAGGTTGGCGAGCTCAAAGCCTGCAAAGGTGTCGGTGCTGCCAGCTAGGTTCGACCCGCTTAGGTTGATCAGCCGGCAGTCGCATGCTAGGTTGGCGGAATGGCGGGAACGAGGACAACGGGGGGGTGGGGGAGTGGAGAAACGGGGGAGTGAAGGGATAGGGAGATTGGACGCATTGGAAAATGAGGGACACGGCAATGGAAAGTTGACGTTTGGGGGAAAAGGGGGCATTGGAGGAGTGGGGCAGGGGGAACGGGGAAATGGGGGTGTACAGGTTCAGAAAAGAGCTGAGAAACATCAGAGTCCCTCCAACTTATAAACCTGTTTCTTTCCCCACTTCCCCCTCCTTCCTTTTCTCCCAGCTCCCACCATCTCACCCCTCTCTCCCCCTCACTCTCGTACTAGTCTCCTAGCCCACTTCCTCTTTCCCCTTCCCCTCGCGCTCCTCCTCCCCTTACCCCTCGACCTTTTTCTCCACTCACCGGCAAAAATGGATCGGTAAAGGTCCTGATTGGACATGTCCGCGCCGCGTAGATAAGCGTGGTTGTATGTCTGGCGGAAAGGGGTAAGGAGAGGATGCGGGGAGAACGGAGAGGGAAACGGAGGGGGAAGGGGAGGGGTGGAGGGAGGTGGATCCCGAAGGGAAAAGGAGGGGGAAGTGTTGAGGAGGGAGAAATGTTCAGGGGAGGGAGTAAGCAGGAGCACATAAAACAGGAAGAACTAGGGGGGGATAGGAACGTCAGTGCATGTTACGATGGAGGGAGGGAGACAGTACGAGTTGAATCAGGGGATTGGAAGGTAATGAGCTAGTTGCCGCTCGCACCTTGAAGTCGGCGAGAGCGCAAGGCGCGACCGCAAAAGGTGCCGCAACAACCGCCGCCGCTGCAGCAGCCGCAGTCAGCCACACTCCCGCACGCTGCGCGTTGGACGGCGCCTCGGCACGATGCGCGTGAGTGTCGCCAGCGCCGCCACTCGAGTCGCTTCGCTCCGCGTCATCCGAGCTGGACGCGCGGGGAGCTACAGCACGTTGACGCCTTGATACTGTCGTGACCATTGGGAATGTCGCGCGACGGTGACCGCCGTGCGATGGCAACGAGGAGGAGGCCGAGTTGGCTAAGAAGGCTTTAACGGACGGAGACGAGACGACAGTGGTAGAAGGGCTTGTAACGGGGATGATGCTCACGAATGCCATCGAGGCAAATAACTCGTGGTCGCGAATGAATGCTTTTAATTGAGTGTCACACGCACGACTACGACTCGAGTAGAGGGGGAGTTTAAGCTCCACTCACGCAGGATGTATTAGCTACGGCTAGCGCAGCGACGACCCGCAGCGCTCTCAGGATAAATAAGCCACTATCGCCAGAAGCCCTTAAACTTAAGGGCTTGCTTACTTTTACTGGGTGTTGAACACACCCAGTCATACGAGCCACCTCAAGGCGACTTGCTTACTTTTACTGCAGCGAGTGCCAGCTGAAATGCGGGATAAAGGTGACTCTCCAATGTTAGAAGATTGCCTGAAAAGCGAACATTGAAAGGTGACAGTCAGTCAGGCCCTGACAGCCTCATCTCATGCGAGGCGAGACTGTGAGGGGGAAGTGAGGGGGAAGTGCTGTGTGTGCAAATGCAGGCAGGATTTCAGTGTACAGTACTAGGAGGGAGGAATCGATCATGGATGGACCGCGGCCCGCGAGTCGCGGGCCGCGACATTCCCAAGGCGAGGGTGGAGGGATGCTGCACCACGTCATTTGAAGACCCATCCAGCGTGGCGGATGAGATACGAGGTCACGGATTGGTCGGACTGTCTCGTCCCAGCCTGCTAACGAGCTCATGATTGGCTGTTTACGAGCTCATGATTGGTTGTTTATAGTGTGTTGAAAGTTGTTTTTCTGGTCGTAACCAGTCCATTCCTAGATGAGGAGCACGATAACCCCTACTTGGGGCTGGCAGAACACGCCTGCACGGGGGTGGGTTCGATCCCAGGACCTCATCTATCGGAAGTGCCTCTTTCTACTGACTAGGCCACTTCTGGATTGGTTGTTTATAGTGTGTGCTCTAAAACGGTTTTATTACAAAAGAATGCATTCATTAAATTCATAACTATGCTGTCAAAATTGGATACTTCAACAGTCAAAACTCCCATGTGCACTTCAAGCCACCTAAAGCGTTAAGAAGTCAAACCTACACTTGCTAACAGACTGCTTTGACTGCCTATCCATGCTGCATTGATGCAGCACTTCTCATCTGTAAGAACCCCAGACGTATGCTTCAAAAGCTTCCCTTTACTCACCCCACCCCCATCCATCACCCCCCACTTACGTCCACATGCTGAATGGCACGTGCTGCTTTACGTGTTAGTGATGCATGCTAAATGACATCTACCTGTCCTCCACATGGTGCATCCACGCTGCATGACATCTAATCCTCCACATGCTGAATCTCACCCATGAGGATGCGGTTACTGGTAACACTGAACCCCAGCAGCGATGGATCGACCACCTTCTTTCCCTTCTTCCCCTTCTTCTTCCCTCCCGCCCCCTCCGCCCCTCCTTCACCACCCCCAGAAGCACCCCCACCAGCACCAGCACCAGCACCACCACTACCTCCACCACTCCCAGCCTTCCCAGACCCGGACCCACTTGCAGTCACCTTCTGCGCCTCATTTCGAGCCGAACCCGCAGGTCCGGCACCGGCACGAGAGGACGCCGAACCTTGCCCTGCCGCACCCTTTTTCCCACCACCACCGACACCACCACCAGAACCACCAGCACCAGTACCAGCACCACCGCCACCGCCACCGCCACTACCACTGAGCAGCGACGAGTCATCCTGAATAACCGCCTCGCTCAAAGGGAATGCCACGCGCACAGCAGACGGGGAGAGCGCGGCGCGGCGCGAGAGGAAGGAGGAGGTGAAGGCGGAGGCGGGGGGAGCAGAGCCGAGGTACTGGAAGAGGTACTGGCGCACCTGGTCGTCTGCTGCCTTGGGGAGTGACATGCAGAAGTCTATGAGCGTGAGGTCTGCATGGCAGGGGAAGGTAAGGGAGGAGAAGGAAGGGTAGAGAGAGGAAAGAAAGGGAGCAGACGTGGAAGTGAGAGCCAAGGTACTGGAAGAGGTACTACCGCACCTGGTCGTCCGCTGCCTTGGGAAGCGACATGCAGAAGTCAATAAGAGTGAGGTCTGCGTGGGAGGGGGCAAGGGAGAGAACGGAGGGGAGGGGAGACAGGGGAGTGGGGAAGGGGGTATGAACGGGGGGAGCAGAGCCGAGGTACTGGAAGAGGTACTGGCGCACCTGGTCGTCCGCTGCCTTGGGGAGCGACATGCAGAAGTCTATGAGCGTGAGGTCTGGAACGGGGGGGGGGGGGGAGGCGGGGAAGGGGGGAGATGGGTGGCAAGGAAAACAGATATTTAATTGCAACTATTGCATGTACAAATAGACAGTACAGTTAGACCTGACACACACATTACCGGGTTGCCTATAAGCTATGTTGGGCATTAAAGCACCTCAAGATTCAAAATCTTACCAGGGCTGCCCGTGAGCTTGAGGATGTTGGCCTCGCACCATTGCCGGAATTCCTGAGCTGCCCGGAGCTCTGCAGGGGGCACTTGAGCCGACGCCGCTGCGCCTGCTGCTGTTCAAAGGCAAGGGGCAGGGAGAAGGGGACAAAAAGGTCAGCAGGGCAGGGAAAGGCGGCACGTCAACCACAGGACGGACGTTACAGAGCAGGGAAGAGAGTAAGTTAATCCCAGAGCACAGCACAGAACAGCACAGCACCCCAAAGCACCGCACAGCACCCATCAAGACTGACCTGACTGGGTTGACTTGGCACCCTTCTTCTTGGACCCCTTGGACTTGGTCTCCACTGCTGCTGCTGCTGCTGCTGCTGCTGCTGGTACCTCCTTACTGCAGTCCACAGAGAACAAGCAATAGCAAAAGAGAGGGTCAACTAGAAGTGGGCACATGGAAAAAAACAAACAAACAAACAAACAAACAAACAAACAGACAAGAGCTGCTGCTCCAGGATGTGTCTGCAATGGGCTGCACACACACATGCACACATGTAATCAACCAACAACAGCACAAACCTGGTGTTAGACTGGTACGAGTAGTCCCAGAACATATCCTCATCCTCCTCCACCACAACCGCTGCCTCCTTCCTCTCCTGCTGCTTCTTCCCCCCTCCCTTCTCACTCCCACTCCCCGCCGCACCTCCCTTCACCTTCCCTCCCACTCCTCCTGCCCCACCCACTCCCCCCATCCCAACAACCGCAGCGGCAGCAGATGGCACAGCAGCGGACGCACCCGGCCCCACTCGCTCCTGCAAAACCCTAATCTGTGCCTGCCTCACCCTCTCCTCCTCTCTCGCCCTCTCCTCCTGCCTCGCCCTCTCCTCTGCAGCTTGAATCTCTGCCAGAGACAGAACCGCCCCCCTGCCCCCTCTCCCTCCTCCCGACCCTCCCGCTGCTGCTGCCGCACGTCCCGCCGAACCAGACGACCAGGCCGGGCCGGGGGCAGGAGCGGGGGCAGCAGAGGGACTAACTCCGGGAATCAGCCCGGGGACCATGAGGAAATCGGCCAGAGACGGAGCAGGGGGAGCGGGAATCTCATCCGCTGCTGCTGCCGCTGCAGCAGAGGCAAGGGAAGCTGCGGCACCAGCAGAAGCAGACCTGGTGGTGGCGACAGGGAGAGAAGCAGCAGGGAGGGCGGCGGCAGCTGCAGCAGCAGCTTCACTCGCGGCAGCTGAGGCAGCAGCGGAGGTTGAGGGAGGCGACTTACCACCCTTCCCCTTGGCGCCCTTCTTCTTGCTCTTCCTCGCTTCCTTGGGCTCCACAAACTCTGAATCATCCACTTCGGCTGCAGCCGTTGCCGCTGCCGCCGCCGCCGCTGCCGCCGCCGCCGCCGCAGCAGCAGCAGACGAGCCAGATTCGCTCTTTGTCAGCTCTACCCTTGCATCATCCAGCATAGACGAAGCAGATCCCAGAATCTCCTCTGCCAGAGGATCCCTGAAACTACCTGTCAGAACACCTGAAACACCTGAGGCTGCTCCTGCTCCAGCCAACCGCCCTGAACCGCTCCCAACTCCGCCTGCAGCCACCCCTGCACCACCCGGACTAGAATACCCCCTGCCGCTGAGGGGATCAAACAAACTAGCCCCAGTTCTAGGCTCCAAAGAAGGCGGCTGGGGGAAAAGAACTGCACTGGCGGTAACCACACTTCTACCCGCCGCAGTATCCGCAGCCGCCGCCGCTGCCGCTGCTGCAGCCGCAGCTGCTTCCTCTTCCAAAATTTCCTTAAGGGATTTCTTCCGAGACATAACAGAGGCAGACCCAGCGTTGCCCCAAACAGTGGCTCCTCCTCCCCCTCCTACACCCCCACTGCTGCTGCCAAACCCACCAGGCCCCCCAATCACCTCTCCTGCGGCAATGGCTGCCTGGAGTCGCTGCTCTTGCTCCTCCCTCTGCCTCTCTGCTTCTGCTGCCTCTTCCTCTAGAATCTGTGCAAGGGACTTGGCCGGGACAGTAGGGGCTTTCCAGGCTGGGACCGGCGGGGTGGATGGCTTGGGAAGGGCATCGGCGGTGGCAGCTGGGGAGGTAGCAGCGGGTGCGGGAGATGCAGCAGCTGCTGATGGTAATGCTTAATCCTCCTGCTCCTGCTGCTGCTGCTGCCTTTTCGCTGTAAGAGAGGGGCTTGGTGCTTGGCTCTGCGGTGGAAACCTGCTGCTGCTGTTTCTGCTTCTGCTGCTGCTTCTGCTTCTCTTTCTCCTTCTCCTTCTTCTCCTTCTCCCTCTCCTTCTCCTTCTCTTTCTCCCTCTCCTTCTCCCTCTCCTTTTCCTTCTCCTTCTCCTTCCGTTCCTGCAGCAGCTGCATCTGCTCCTCCTTCTGCTTCTTCTTCTTCAGCTTCTTTAGCTCCTTTTTCGAAAGCGTTTGAGAGCCCTCATCCATGTCATCCGCACCTGTCTTATCCTCGTTAACAGCCTCCTCCTTCTTCCCTTTAGCACCAGCTTCCAACGCCTCTCCCTGCCCTTCCTCCGGATCTGCATCCCCAGCAGCCGCCACCTCATCTCCCTTCCCTGCCCCCTCGCCCTGATCTGCCAATCCCGTCGGCGCCTGTCCCTCCCCTTCCCCTTCCTCTTTCTGCTGCTGCTGCTGCTGCTGCTGCTGCTGCTGCTGCTGCTGCTGCTGCTGCTGCTGCTGCTGCTGCTGCTCCTGTTGCTCTGTCCCCCCAGACCCTTCCCCTACCTGAGCTACGGCCTGGGAGGTTTGAATTACAGCCTGGGTGGACTGCACAGCAGCATAGGCACCGCCCTCTGCCTGATTGTCCTGCCGCAGAAGCTGGGAGTACGACAGCCGCTGTGGCGCTGCTGCTGGCTGTCCCTGCTGCTGCCCCTGCTGCTGCTGCCCCTGCTGCTGCTGCCCCTGCTGCTGCTGCCCCTGCTGCTGCCCCTGCTGCTGCCCCTGCTGTTGCTCCTGCTGGGGTTGCTGCTGCCCCATCCCTTGCTGCTGCTGTAGCAGCAGCTGCTGCTGCATCTGCAGCACGTCAGCTCGAGCCGAAGCCTGCCCATCCCCCTGCGTCTGCCCTCCCTGCATCTGCAACAGCTGCTGCTGCAGCAACTGCTGCTGAAGCTGCTCCCCGCTGAGCTAACAGAGGAAGAGGGTGAGGAAAGTGACCAGGCAGCATTCCAAGGGGAATTTGTGGCAACTGCTGCTGCAGAGGCTGCTGCCCCTGCGGCCCCTGCTGCTGCTGCGGCTGCTGCTGCTGCCCCTGCTGCCCCGGCTGCCCCGGCTGCTGGGGAGGAATTGGGGCACCTGGGAACGGCGGCAAGAGCGCTTGGCCAAAAGGGGGGGGCGGCAGCGAAGGGTGCTGCTGCAGCCACGGGGGCGGGACAGACCCGGGAATGGGCCCCTGCAAGAACCGCGCCTGCTGCAACTGCTGCTGTATCTGCTGCGTTCCCTGCGCGTCCACTGGCCTTCCTGCCATAAGCAGAGACGACAGGTGCATCTGTAACGCCATTTCCTCCGTTACAACCTCTGGTAACCCGCCCTCTTTCGCCAACACGTGAGGTAACCCACCCGCACCTGCCACTCCCACTCCCCCAGGCAACCCTCCCCCAGGTAAACCCCCCCCGGAAGCACCTGTATCCAGAGCCAGAGACTGCTGCAGCCGCATCTGAACCTCCCTCAGTTGCACCTCCCTCAACTGCGCTTCTCGCATCTGCGCCTCCCTCAGTTGCGCCTCCCTCAGCTGCGCCTCCCGCTGCTCCCTCTGCTGGACCACCTCCTGCTGTACGCGCATAAGCAGATCCGTTATAGGCGGGTGCTGCAGCAGCTGCTCTAACGGAGCGTCCTTGGGAATACCCGCATGCACCAGCGCTTCTACCATTCGTAGACTCAACTCGTCCTGCCCTATAATCGGACCCCCGGCTCCTGGGTAAAGCGTGGCTGGGCCTAGTCCAGTAGCAGCGGCAGCAGGGTGCAGCAGCGGGTGCAGGGGGTGGTGGAGATGTGCTAGAGTGATGCGCGGGGGAGGGAGGGTTGGCAGGAGGGTTGATGGCAGCTGCTGCGGCGGCTGCTGCGGCTGCTGTGGCGGCTGCTGTGGCTGCTGACCCAGCGGCAACTGCTGCTGCTGCTGTTGCTGAAGCTGCTGCAGCTGGGGTTGCTGCGGATGGGAGAGGAGGTGGGAGAGGAGGGAGGGCAGCGGCTCGTGGGTGAGTGGTAGGTGCGCTGGCTGCTGCTGCTGCTGCTGTTGCTGTTGCTGTTGCTGCTGCTGCTGCTGCTGTGGTGGTGGGTGCGATTGGCCGAAGAGAGCAGGAGAGGGTGAGGGGGAGCGATGACCCTGAGTGGCAAGAACGCAAGCAGCGGGCAGAAAATGAAAGACACAGAACACAGGGGAGGAAGGTAAAAGGAAGGTGAGAGGCGAAGACCAAAGCGAACACTGGCTAGAAACCCAAAACCCTGGCTTCAAAACACACCTGAGCCAGCGCATCGAGACTTGAATATGGCCTTGATGCCGCTCCAGCGCCCACTGCTCCTCCAGTTTCATTACAATGCAAGGGGATATGAAAGCTTCAGAGTAAGAACTCACCTGAGCCAGCGCATCAAGACTGGAAAACGACCTTGATGCCGCTCCAGCGCCCACTGCTCCTCCAGTTTGATTACAATGCAAGGGGATATGAAAGCTTCCAGAGTAAGAACTCACCTGAGCCAGCGCATCAAGACTGGAGAACGACCTTGATGCCGCTCCAGCGCCCATTGGTCCTCCAGTTTCATTACAATGCAAGGGGATATGAAAGCTTCAGAGTAAGAACTCACCTGAGCCAGCGCATCAAGACTGGAAAACGACCTTGATGCCGCTCCAGCGCCCACTGCACCAGCCACACCCGCTCCCGCCCCATGCACCCCCGGCTCGGCCCGAAGCTCCTCGGCGCCCGGAGCTGGCCAGGAGGCTTGGTAAAGGGCGCCTGGCTCGTCCACGCCTGGAAAAGAAACAGTGGTATGGGACGGAGGAGGATAAGGTGCTTGACTCTTTGAGTGTGCTAAAATAGGTCTTCATGAGTGCTTAAAGAGTTGATGAGTCTATTGCTCTGCAAAAAAAAGTATTTAGTGGCGCCTACAGCAGTGATGGTGATGTTACACGACCCACTGTGCAAGGTGCTGCAATGCTATTGGGGGGAACGTAGGTGCAGCATGTTACAGGGTTACGAGCATGACAAGGTTACAGGCGCCAAGCGGGGAAAGAATAGAAAGTGTACAAGAAACAGGTAATGAAGGGGGGGGGGAGGGCGGGAGGGGGGAAGGTGGGGGGGGAGTGAGATTATGGGGGTTGCGAGGAGGGACGGGGAGAAGTAAGCAATGGAGGAGTAAAGGTAGATTGGTTGAGAAAACTATACGCTCACCTCTGCCAGCGTGAATAGCCCCCAAAATGACCCCTGCAGCACCCGCCATTGCACCACTGCCAGCAGCAGCAGCACCAGTAGCAGCACCAGGCACAGTAACACCAGGCTCGGTAGGAGCAGAGGCAGGAGCGGCAGCAGCAGCAGCAGCAGCAGCGCTTGACAACCCAGGGGTTTCTTTCTCGGAAACGCGAGTGGCGTCACCTGCTGCTGCAGCACCTGCAGCAGAACCAGCAGCCCCTGCAGCAGAACCAGCAGCCGCAGTAGCAGCAGCACCACCACCACTAGCAGCGCCAGCAGCAGCAGCAGCGCCACCACCAGCAGCAGCAGCGGCAAAGCCAGGCGGGACCTTAGCAGAGGGTTTCAGATGCGGCATAACATCTCCCAGCGGCAAAAACTGCACTCCAGGTGCCGCCTCCCCTGTCGCCGGATCTACCGGCCTGACTGGCAACTCCAGTCCAAAAAACCCCGCCTCATACCACCCCATGATGTCCTCTCCTGGGAACGGCCCCTGAACTTCCCCCTGAGGGTCGCGGTACTGTAGCAGGAGCTTTTCAGGTGGGATGGAGGGGGCGGCGGGTTTGGCTTGGGAGGGAGAGAGGGAGGTGGAGCCTGGGGGAGGTGAAGCTGGTGAGGGTTGGGTGGGGTGGTCGGTTGGGTGGGTGGTTGCTGCTGTGCCTGAGGCGTGCGCGGGAGTGCGCTTGTCGGCCTCTTGTGCTGCTTGGGCATCACGGGAAGCGAGTTTGAAAGGAATCAGCCGGAGGAAAAGAGCGTATAGAAAGGTTTGAAAAAGTAAGTCATTACATGTTACATAGGCAGCACGGGACTAAGAAACGAGGGAACCAGTCAACCGCACATGCCCCAGCTCCTGATGTCCCATCCGCCCTGTCCCGCTCAAAATCTTGCAATATAGCGTCCTTGTCCCTCAAGGCATGCACCACGCCACTACCCACGATCTCCCCACTCTCGATCGCCTGTACTACGTACCAGCTTGATTATTGGCGTCCCGCCCCTCCCTGTCCCGCTCCTTGTCTCGCGTTGAGGCGTCCTTGTCCCTGGACGTATGCACCAAGCCACTGTTCACGATCTCCCCGCTCTCAATCGCCGCCATTACAGCCTGCACGCACGGACAGAGGCACAGGCACACGGCAACATTCAGATGGTATCAGTCAGGTAATCACAGGTGAACAATTGAGCGTCCTTGTCCCTGGACGTATGCACCAAGCCACTGTTCACAATCTCCCCGCTCTCAATCGCCGCCATCACCGCCTGCACGCACGGACAGGCACATTCAAACAGTAACATATATATCATAACAACCAAACAAAATAGGCCAGTTGGTGACACAGTCGGTAACAGCTAAACAGCAACAGGCAACTGGCAAATGATAACAGATGGCACAGTTGGCACAGCTGGCAACTCCGCACGGTCCCCTCTCTGCTCACCTCTTCCTCCGCGCTCGCTTCCACCAGCGCCATGGGCACCAGCGGCTCTGACCCCAGAAGCGCGGGCGCTTCACCCAACAAACGGCATCTACCTCCACACAAAACCTACCAGCCTACGGCGTCTCCGCGCTCGTCCCACCCATACAGTGTTTACCTCCACATGTAACCTACCATACCAGTCTGCCGCATCCGCTCACCTCTTCCTCCGCGCTCGCTTCCACCAGCGCCATGGGCACCAGCGACTCCGACCCCAGAAGCGCAAGCGCCGCACCCAAACGGCAGCTACCTCCACACAAAACCTACCAGCCTACGGCGTCCGCTCACCTCTTCCTCCGCGCTCGCCGCGCTCGCCTTACCCCAGGCGCACCTACCCCGCACGCCCCCCCTCCGCTCACCTCTTCCTCCGCGCTCGCCTTACCCCAGGCGCACCTACCCCCGCACGCCCCCCTTCCGCTCACCTCTTCCTCCGCGCTCGCTTCCACCAGCGCCATGGGCACCAGCGGCTCTGACCCCAGAAGCGCGGGCGCCTCAGACCACTCCCCCGGGATCGCCGCGCTGAACTCCGGCGCGCGCTTGTGCGCCTGGTAGATCTCCAGCAGCCGCGCGCGCGGGTACCTGAACGTCTCCGCGGATGGCGGAGCGCCCGCTCCGCCAGACTCTAGCGGAGGAGCGCCGATATGCTGCGCCCTGGAGCCCTGCCCCGGGACATCCCAGCTCCCCCCTGCGCCCCCGCCAAATCCGCGTCCCCGCGCAAAGCCTCCGCCCCCTCCGCCAGCAACAAGCGCGGAAGAGCCTCCGCCTGCACCTGCGCCGTCGGGGGTTCCGCGCCCGCGACCCGCGAACCCAAACCCTGGCTGGAACTTGGAAAAGGGGGCGGCGGAGGATGTAGCGGTGCCCGTTGGCGGAGCCTCTCCGCGCCCCCGTCCCGCGATCGACTGCGGGCGCCACTTTCCCCCCGTCTCTGACCTCCCCGCGGTAGTGTCTCTAGTCCAGCTTCCGCTTCCTGCTCCCCCGGAGCTACCGCCCCCGGGACCCGCCGCGCCGCCCGCCCCAGCCCCGACAGCCCCTCCGCCATCTTTGTCAGCTTCTTTCCCCCTGTCGCTGTCTCGAGCGCCGATAGCGGGGCGGCTTCTCTCGTATTCCCTAGGTTTGTCCGATTCCTTCTCCCCCGGCAGTGTCCAGCGCGCACTCCCCCCGCCCTGCGCGGACTCCGGCGTTCCGCGCTCGCGCAACCCGCCTCCGACATGCCCGCTTTTCTCCCCCCAGCTCTCGCTGTGAACAACGCTTTTGTCCTTCTCTTTGTCCTTCTCCTCCGCGCTGCCCCAGCGCGAACCCCACTTGGTCTCGCGGCGCTGGTCGAAACTCCGCGTACCGCTATCCGCCCACCGCTCCTTGCGGTAATCCACACTCCCTCCCTCTCCCCCCGCGCCAAGCCCAGCGCGGGGACCGCCCATCCCCGGCGGATCCACCCAGCGCTCCTTCTTAACGTACCCGCCCCCCTCCCCCGCCTCCTTTCCGCTCTCCCCCCCTAGCGGCGGGGCGTGTATGGACCCCCAACGGGGATCGTTGCGCGGCTTCCCCCCCACGCTCTCGCGCTCGCGCTCGTCCTCCCCCCAGCGGTCGCTCGGCCTGTCGCGCTCCATGCCCGCGCTGCGCCACCAGTCGCGCTCCCGCTTCGCCTCGTCCGGCGGCGCGCCCGCTACCCCTCCCGCGGAAATGCCGCCTACGCCTGCGCCTGCGCCTGCGCCTGCTCCCCGGCCTACCTTCCACTTTCCGCCGGGTGCCTCGCTGCCTCGGCCATATCCCATCGGCTTGGAAGGGTCCTGAAAGGGCCACGTAATGAGGGGAGAATGAGTCAAGAATGCGGTGAGAGTGAGACAACCCGCGGGAAGAATGGCACAATAAGCAGGGAGAATGAGACAAGATGCAGGTAGAACAAAGTCAAGTGGGGGGGAACGAGATGAACAATCACGAAGAACAAACGACATCTAGCGAGAACAGAGAGCCAGTGCGGGAGCTGGGAGTGCTAGTGAACAAGAAAGATCTAGAAAGACAAGACTCGTAGCAATCTCCTGGGTATACGGGAAATCAGCTCGGCTTGCTCGGTCGACAGCGAAACCCCATCGTTGGTTTGGCAGGGAATCACTCGCTGACCTGACCGACAGGACTACGCGAGTCCGAGTGCTTCGCGGTAAGCCACTGAGGCGAAAATGCCATTGAAGAATCCCCAGGTGACGAATGCTCTGCATTATCATACACGTGACAGGGAAACGCGTGGGTTATTATAACATAGCGATAAACCTCAGATACATGACGAGCTTCTGGATTGACGGAGCACGTCACTGCATGTACCTTTTCCGTCCGGAGACGTTTTCGAAACTGTTCCTCCAAAACTTCCTCCGCCAGATTCATCTGCGAAGCGAAGAATGGTCAGAATCCGCCAAACCCTAATCGCAAGCAAGCTGGAAAATACACCTACCTCGAGATTTCTTGACATCCTGGGGACGAAGGGAAATTCCCCCATTCTGGAGACCGGAAGGATCCGACATCTTAGTGAGAATCTAATCGCGTGGCTCGTGAACGAAGCGCTTGGGCCGCTGATAACTGAGAGCTTGGATGTGCTAGTTTAGAGCAAGATCTAGAGAGTGGCTGTTCTGTGGACCCTGGCAGAGCAATGCAAAAAAACCCTGGAGGAGAGGATAGAAAGGGAAGAGATGATTTGGATGACAGTGGAGTTACCGTGTAACAAAATGACGTGGTGTCACGGCAGTTCCACTTCGGCAAAGAACGAACTAAACCGTTCGAGAACGTAACCGACCACTCTTATTCAATAGCATGAAAGGGAACTGTTACGAAACATTTGTGGGGATGGTGACATTCTCGAAGTAGTCAACCTGGTGGTAGAATCTAGGTTGTGGGCTTCTTTTCTGGGGAAGCTACCCAAAAAAATGAAATTCTATTCTGATGGAGGCGGTGGGCGAATGTGGGTTTGATGTGTGGGAGTTTGTACCAAACAGCACGCGGTGGGGAGTGATTTTAGGAGTTTTCTGCTTTCAGCCGTTAATTTTCGAGGATAAAAGCAAAGTACGGAAAAATCCTCCATTGTCAAAATCCTTCCCAATGATGCAAACCAGCTTCCAGAAAACTTCGGAAACAGTGCAGAGAAAAGAGTTTGTCTATATATTTATAT